ACACATCAGTAAATAGAATAGCCTTGAACCTCTCAACAGCAGTACCAGACACTAAAACATAGTGGAGAATCACCTTCACAATACTGAAGGAAAATTATTTCCAATTTAGAATCCTATACCCAGCCTAATTATCAATTTAAGGAGCACAAAATTAAGACATTTTCAACAAGCCAGATTGATTTCAAAGCATTTCCCTCCCCAGGACCCTCATCAGGGAGCTACTAGAGCAGTGGTTTGCAATCTTGCCATCAGACCTTCACATCAGAAGCGTCCTGTGGCACTTTAAAAATGTGAGCCTACAGGCCTCACCCCAGGCCAGTTAAAGGAGATTCTCTGGGATTAAGGCCTGGTCTTCTGCATTTTAATGCTCTCTGGGTCATTCTAAGGCATAGCCCAGGATTGAGGACCACTGTGCCAGAAATGTTCCACCAAAACAAGAGAGAACACCAAGAAACAGGAAATCATGGCATCAGGAAACAAGAGTTCCAGCACAGAAACGAGGTAAAGGGAGACCCCAGGACAATGACAGGCAGGGGGTGAGTGAGCAATGGTCCAGCCTAGAGCACGGCTAGAGGCTCTGAGAGAGGCGTCTCCAAGAAGACACAGGTGGTCAAACACCTGACAGGAATGAAGGTGGAGAGCAGATGTGGACAACTGGCTGAGAGTTTGGAATTGAACGATGACAAAGACACTAAGCAAAAGGAAAAAAAAAGAAAAAAAAACTAAGCAAAAGGAAAAAAACTAAAACAAAGACAATTGTTTATTTCAGGGAAAACCAAAAGTGTGCAGGGAGGAAAAAGGACGCATAGGCTTTCCAGGACATACAGACTGTTACATCTACTCAATTTGGCCATTGTAGCAGGAAAGCCGACACTGACAGGATGTAAATAATGGGCATGGCTGCGTTCTAATAAAACTTTATTTACAAAACAGGTGGGGAGCCAGATTTGACCCACCATGCCAGAGTTTTCCAAGCCCTGCTTATGTGTGTGTATAACTAATAAAAACGAAACTTAAAAATAAAATAATTTCTATCTGGAAGAGAAAATGCAGATGAACAGGTAAGAACATTTTGGAAGACAACGAATGAGGAGTTCCTCATCTAACTGTTATGACTGACTCTAATGCCAAGGAATGAAAACAGTGGGACGTGAATTCCCCAGTGGTCCAGCGGTTAAGACCCTGCGCTTTTGATGCCGAGGGTGCGGGTTCAATCCCTGGTCTGGGAACTAAGATCCCACAAACTCTGCGGGTGTGGCCAAAAAAATAAAATCAATCCAGAAAACAGTGGGACGTTGGCACAAGATTTGTCAAGCCAGTCAGTGGGAACAGAGACCCGGAAGAGACCCGTACATCCCCGAGGGACTAGTAAATGGTAAAAGGGACATGTGAAAATCAGGATGGAAGCAAAGGATGTGCACGCAACACAGAAATAGGGGACTGTGAAAGTGCTGGGCCCAGAGGTTAGGGCCGGGGGGCAAGGTGGCCACCTGCACAGACTGTTTCAAGGATCAGCGACTGCAGCCCGCACCTTGCCCTGGGCCCCATGGAAATTCCTGGAACATGCTCAGACCTAGAGAGAAGTTATTTCTGTAAACCAGTTGTTCTCAACGGGGCGTGTGTTGGGAGGAGAGGGGATTCGCCCCAGGTGTATTTGGCAATGTCAATAGTGCAAGGCTGAGAAACACCCGCTGTAAACTAAGTTCTGCTTGTCGCGTGCCCTCTGAACGGCTGCAGAGGGTCCAGGAGGCCTGTACCCTGGGAGCACCGGGTCTGGGCTAGCCTGCAGGGAGTGACCGGGACTTTCCACCTCGGGTTCCTAGAACTGGAAGCAGTGCTGCCCACCCTTCCTGCCCAGGAACTTTCTCTCCTGACCTGCCCAAACCTCAGGCTCCAGCAGCCGCCGTTCTCCCTGCCCACGCTCCCCTCCCTTGGCACAGTACAGGCTGCTGGCCCAGAAGCCTGGGAACATTCCTGACCTTTGCTTTGGTTTCCTCCGGCTCTTGGCGGTTTCTCGCTGGTACACTGAGCCCCCGGCCCAGCTCGCTGAAGCGCCCCATTGTTCTCACTGCCTCCTGGCCTCGGGCCCTGGCCCTCTTGGCACTCTCATCTCCCAGTGGTCTACTGAGAGGCAGGTGCCAGCCTAGAAATGAGCGTGAGGGTCTCCAGCCTGCTTTGGGCCTGTCCTGGGCCTCTGACATGGCCTCTGATGCCCTCCTGCCCCAGGCAGGAGAGAGTCTGCTGCCCCCCTTGGAGCTTCTAATAGGAACTGGGAGGCCTGGGCTCTCCTCCCTTCCCTGTCCCTGGACTCAGGGTGACCTTGAGCAAGGCCCTTCCTCCTGTCCTGAAAGTGTGGAGAAGACTCCCACTCCCAGCCCCTCCGTGGGGAGAGGCTATAAGGAAGGCAGAGAAAGCCTGCGGCAGGGAAAGGACTGTTAGCCTGAGCCTCCTGAATTATAAATGCGCTGCTGCTATGGCCCATTGGGACACTTAAGTGCCTCTTAACCAGCCAGTAAAACGTACCTCCGACTGCCCTTTAAGTCTTTCTGTGGAAGGAAGTTGTGTTCTTAGCATGCTGGCTCTCTGAGGTCCTGGATGCGGCTGTGATTGTGATGACTCCATGGGAGAAGTTTGCCGGGCTTGGTCTCTGAGCCACAGAGGAGCCCAAGGCCCACTTGGTGTCCATCCCTGAGCATAGCTCACGCCAGTGGGGCTCTTCCCTGTTAGTGCTCAGGGCCCTGTGCCTTGGAGAACAGATACAGGTGCAGGAGGTACAGCTTGGCCCGGAGACCAGCGGTCTGGGCTCCACTCTGCTCCTGTGTGACCTCCAGAGATATGCGCGACTCCTCTGGGCCACAAGCTCCCAGCTGCAAAAGTTGCAAACGCTCCTTGTGGAGACACTGATGCTGGTGACCGGGGCCAGCTGGGCTGTTGGGAGGAGCGGCTCCTACACTCCCACCCCTCTTAGGGGAGACAGAACTGAGGACACCTGGGATTTGCAGCCCAGCCGATGTGGGCCTGACCCATCACTTAGGAGCTGTGTGGCCCCTGGTGGCGACCCCACCCCTCTGAGCCTCACAACATGTAAAGTGGAGAGAACAGGGGCGACCTTGCAGTACTGTCACAACAATGTGGAGATAGAGCACCTTGCCTGGGTCTTAGCTCAGTCCCCTCAGCAGGCTCAGTCCTGCCTGGGAAGCGCTCATGTGTCTGAGGAACCCACATCCTAACCTCCTGCTCTCTTCACCCCCACGAAAGCCTGGGATCAAAGAAAGAGCCTCTTCCCCACAAAGTCCAAATACCCACGCTGCTGGCTCACTGGGCCCAGCCCCACGGGCTCCTGGGTGACCTAGGAAGCACCAACCATGTCCCTCCTGCATCCTGAGACCTGGCATCCAGCACCACATTGTTTTGTTCGAGCTTCTCCTTTCAAAGGGCCTTTTTTTTCTTTTAAATTTATTTATTTTTATTTATTTGGTTGCGCCGGGTCTTAGGTGGGGCTCGCAGGCTCCTTAGTTGCGGTACACGAACTCTTAGCTGCGGCATGCATGTGGGATCTAGTTCCCTGACCAGGGATCGAACCCAGGCGCCCTACGTTGGGAGCGCAGAGTCTTAGACACTGTGCCACCAGGGAAGTCCACAAGGCATCTTATCTGGGTCTGTGTCCAGGGCCTACCCTGGCCCCCAGGCCCTGGATACAGGTATGAGGGGCAAATGCAGGGCAGGGCCCTGGCTCTGGCAGCCAGGGGGCGGGCCCACCAGGCTCGTGGCGGGTGGCGTGGGTGGTGTGGTGCCCCTGCTTGGCTGTGGAGAGCCTGTCCGCCTCCCCTTCCCCATAGCAGGAGCAGGGCTGGGGCTGCGTTTCCGCCTCTCCCCTCACGGGAACACGGGAAGCAATCAGCCTGAGGAAGCCGCGCGGCACTTCCTTCCTTTCTCACCAGACCCTCCGGAGGCCTCGACAACCTGGGCTTGACCTGTGGGGCCTGCAGCTTTTGGGTTGTAGGCAGGAGACCAGCAGGCCCGATGGGACCCCCTGGAGGTTCCTGGGACCAGGGCTTGGGACTCCTGCCTGGGCACACACACCTGCACACACTGAGACCACCAGGCCATGGCTGAGTGACCCCCTCAGGCCTTGAGCAGTCCGGAGACCCACCCTCCCTGGGGCTAATGGAACGCAGTCTCTCCCCACAGCCTCGGGGTGGGAGTGGGGGAGAAAGAGAAGCATCTCCTACCTCCTGCCCAGCCGCTTGGGCCCCTCATACTCCCTTTCATCAGAGGGAGGCCGGCCACCCAGAGACAGGGGCTTGGAGTTGGGGGCTTTGGGGAGGGAAGGCTGGATCCTTGGTCCTGAAATCAGAGCTGGGTGACTGGGTTCCCCCACCAAGAGCCATGTGCACCTCCCAGCTCTGAGCAGAACTGGGAATGGCGCAGGAAAGGGGGTCTCTCCAGGCCCAACTTCTCCCCTCTCCTCCCACATGGCCCGCCCCTCCATCACCTAGCGGCAGTGCACACTCGCTTGCTCTCACCCTCCTGCCTCTCCCTGGTCAGATCTGCTTTCAGGCAAGTGTGTAACAAACACATTCACCTTGAAGTGTCAGAGCTGTATGAGAACTGTCCCAGGAAGGTTTGGGCCAGGCCCACGTGACGGTGAATCTCGGCCAGCCAGACGGGAGACTCGTAAATTGGCCCCTCTCACCCTCCAAATCCTTACAGATGCCCTCAACCAAGTCTGGTTTGGGCGGGCAGGGGGAGGGGGGGAATAGGCACCCCTGGGACTGGGACCAGAGTATGATCTCTAGAGTCAGACTCGGATCCTGGTTCTAGCTCTCCTCAGCTGTGTGACCGTAGCCAGCTGCTTAGCCTCTCTGAGCCCCAGGCTCCTCTGTAACCGGGGCTGTAAGGAGGATTGAGGTAACACGTGGCAAGATGCCTAGCCCAGGGGTGGGTCCGATAAATGGCACCTGCTGCTCTGCCTGAGGGGTACCCTGAGGAGGGACCCGCATTCCCAGCACCTTATCAGCAGGAGGATCCCTGGCCCTGGACACACAAAAAGGCTGGAAAAGGGTGTCCTGGTCTAGCCATAACACCATGCCGCCCATTTCCAGAGGGCTGCTGAAGCAGAGCTCGCTGGGTGCCACAGCCTCCTTTTTGTTCTTGAAATAGAGCAGGGCACCCCGTCTGCTCGCTGCTCGACTGTTAGGGCCAGGATGAGGGCCCATGCCAGTCCCCCTGGGCGCTCAGATCCAAATCCAGTCCCCAGGAGCATCTGTCTTCTATGGCTTAGGCCGGGCCAGCCTCAACTGGGCTCAGCTTTCAGAACTGACTTACTTCGAAGAATAGGAGCCACTCCCAGGTCAGCTAGAAACTTCCAGAACCCCAGCCCCTCAGCACCCTGGTGGTCAATGGCATAGAGTGCTCCGCCCTGTCCAACCTCCAGGCCCCTTCCCTGCCATGGGTAGGCGGGGAACTTCCTGCAGTCCTTAGGCTGGGCCCTGCGGTACCCAGTCCGGGCCGGCTGGGGGTGGCCTCCTAAAGGGGAGCCTGCCACCTAGCACCTCATTCAGCCTCACAGCTGGTCCAGCAGGTAGATAGCATGAGCCCATTTCACGTATGGGTAACTGAAGTCCAGAGAGTCCCTGCTTTGGCTGAGCTGGGACTCAGATCCTGTACCACTTCCTCCCCCAGGTCCAGGCCCTCCTTACCGTCTGACGGGGTCCCTGTCCTCAGCCTCTGCCCTCCAGACCCCAGGTGGCCTGGGGCTGTGTGGATCGGAGAACCTGGTACTGGGGACCTGGGCCCAGGCTCCCAGCAGCCCCCAGCCCAGGGGCCCCCCGACGCTGAGCAGCAGTGTCAGGATCATCTTGGCTTGGGGCGGACTCAGCCTCTGTGGGTGACTCCAGAAACTACCAGCGCTGGTGACGTTGTCTTCAAGTTAAGTCTCAGAAGGAAAAAAAAAGCACGGGGACAACAAAGAGAGGAAGTGGCCTGGGCCGGCCCACCCGGTGAGTCTCGTCCGGCCCCCCTCACCCTCGGCCTGGTCCCCACTGGGGCAGCCAACAACGCAGGCCAGTTCCCGTGTGCCCTGGGAGGAATCGGGTCCGGGACATTGGGGGTGTGGGAGACAGGGGGGGAGGCAGCCCCACCAAGCGTGTCCCCACGGGAATCAGGAGAACCGCACCAGCACAGAGGCGGGGCAGCAGGAAGCGGTCGGATCAGCCTCAGGGAACCTGCTGCCCATCCATGCTGGTGGCCAGGAAGTGGGGGGCACTCGTGCCTACTCAGCACCTCTCACCACTGGGCAGTGGGAGCCAGCAGACAGGTGGAGGCTCAGAAGGACAAAGGAGCTGTCCTAGGGTCGCACAGTCTGTAGCTGGGGCCAGGGCCTGGGTCAGCTCTTTGTGGCTCAGCTCCTCCACCTGGCCTTGCCCGAGCCCCAGGATGGGGGCATCCGTGGTGCTGGTGAGAAGTTGGGTAGCCCAGGCCAGTCTGGGAGGTTGGCCACTCTTGCCTGACAGACCGGCTTGGTCCTGACCCCTGCCCTACCTGGGACGCTGGTAACAGAGGCACCTCCCCTCTCTGTGCCTGCCCCCCTCTGTGACCCCTCTCTGCCCCAGATGTACACAGATACAACAGCCCCAGGCCTGGGAGCACCCAGTCAAGGCTGCCCCTGTGGGTGCGCAGGGCGGCAAATGAATGAAGGGCAGTGATGGATAAGAATGTGTCCGGCCCTCTATGGCCCCTCCAGGGAGGGCAGGGGACAGGAGGGGAGGGTTGAGCCAGCAGGGGCTCGGGAACCCTGGGAGAAGGGGGCGGCGAGCCTGCTTCCTCCCTCCCTCCTTCCCCGCCCCCACCCCTGGGCTGGCTGGGCTCCCATCAGCCGCCGCTGCATCATCATTATTTCATTGGCGGCAATAAGAGGCAGCAGTAGGGACAGCAGCTGCGGCAGCACTCGAGCCAGCTCCAGTCACAGTTCGCCCGGGGAGTCAGGCCCCCGTCCCTGCCCACAGCCATGGACGTCTTCAAGAAGGGCTTCTCCATCGCCAAGGAGGGTGTGGTGGGCGCCGTGGAGAAGACCAAGCAGGGGGTGACAGAGGCTGCTGAGAAGACCAAGGAGGGTGTCATGTATGTGGGTGAGTTTGGGCGTGGCAGGGCCTGGCGGCGCAGGGCAGCTTGGTGGCCGCTCAGTTACCTGGGCCTGACTTTATCCCCCAGCCCCTGGGAGGCGTTTTGAGAGGGATGAGGACGTGGCAGTTGAGTCAGGGTCTCCCAGCCCTGGAGGACCGCCACTCTCCCACACACCCCATTGTCTGTTTGGCCTCCTCAGGGCCCCAGGGGCCTCTGGGACAGAACAGCAAGGGAGGCACTTAGCCCTCAGACACACCTGTTTGTGCGCACACAGATGCACACACCAGCGGCCCCGCCCAGCACCACCCACAGGCCCCCTAACTCGGGTAAGAAGCCACACTGAGCCTGGAGCCCCGCGGACTGAGCAAGCAGGGGCTCAGCAGCCAGGCCACGGGCCCCCACCCCTCCCAGAGGGAAGGGGCGCATCAGGCGAGATGAGACCAGCCCTCAGTGTCCTGTCCAGCCTCCCGTGCACCCCACCCCCATCAGCTCCTTCCGAAGAGGAGGCTGAGCCGATGACTCAGCTCTCGTTGACCCTGTCCTGCGCTGCTTCCGAGGCCCAGGCCATACCCACATGAGGTCCAGACCCTACCTCAGGCCTGGTCTCTCTCGTCCCCCCATCCTGTCCTGTCCACTTCCCATCCGTCCCCTTCCTCCAGACACAGCAGGAAGTGGCCTTTGAAAGGATGGCCGGCCCCCAGACACCATCCTTACCTCCCACTGACCCTGCAGCTTGTCCAGCTGTTCTGTGGTGTGTTTACCTGGCCCACTCCCCCACTCCCAACACCAGGAGTGGGACTGGGCTGACGCCTCCACTTCCTCCACAGGAGCCAAGACCAAGGAAGGTGTTGTGCAGAGTGTGACCTCAGGTGAGGAGCCCCAGTACCCGGGGACATGGAGGCTAGGACATGCAGGGACTTTTGCACCCTGGTGCTAAAGGCCCAAGCCCAGGCACCTCCTTTCCCCCCTGCTGTACACGGACCCAGATTTCTCCAGAATCTGGGGCTAGACCCAGGGTGGACTGCCCCCATCGTCGTCAGAGCTCCCCTGGAGTCAGAAAGGGGACAGCCTAAGGTCTCCAGTAGAGCCAGCATTTTGAGCGCCCTGGGAAAGGGGCTACTCTGGCCTGACGGGAAGGCCAGGCCTGGGTGGGGTGGGGTCAGGGCCAAAGCCAGCCAGATTCCTCCCACAGTGGCTGAGAAGACCAAGGAGCACGCCAACGCCGTGAGCGAGGCCGTGGTCTCCAGTGTCAACACCGTGGCCACCAAGACCGTAGAGGAAGCAGAGAACATCGCTATCACCTCCAGAGTGGTGCGCAAGGTGAGACCTGGTCCCCAGCCCTGGCCCTCAGACCTGTCCCATCCTTTCCCCTGGGCCCCAGGGAGGCCAGCTGGGGAGGAGGCACTATCACCCCACTGACATACAGGGGAATGGAGACTCAGGGGCCCTGGTCTGCGTTTGGTGTTGTCACATCCATTAAGTCCTGGAATCCCTACGACCACCCCTGTGAGCAGAGCTGTGTGGGGCCCAGTTGGAATGAGGCTCAAAACCACATTCTCCTGATGGCGCTCAGCATTTAGGAGACACCCCATTCCACTAGCGAAAGCGGGGTCCTGAGGGCCCCAAGTGGTGACGGGCGGCCTCCCACGGGCAGTGGACACCAGCTCAGAGCTGCCAGGTCACCGCCAACCCAGTGTCCAGCCTCCCTCCGGGCCTGGCGGGGCAGGGCCTCCTCCAAGGAGCAGCAGGGAAGCAGCGCCCCCTGGTGGCGGAAAAAGAGTGAGGGTTCTGACCACACCCTCTGCCTCCACCTTTGCGAGCGTGCGTGTGTGCGTGCTTGTGCCTGGTGTGAGTGTGCCCGTGTGTGTGTGTGTGTGCGCGCGCACGCACACGCGCCGGGCAACAGAGAGCACAGGAGCAGGGGAGCACTCCCAGGGGGTGGAGGCTAGCTGGGAGAACTGTCCCAGAACCCACCACAGAAAGACTCTGCTTGAAGCATTTTACACCTACTAACTCATTTCTTTGGCCCCAAATCCCATGAGACAGGGTGTGGAAATGAGGCCCAGAGAGATATGGTAATCAAGGTCCCATGGCTAGTCTGAGTGAGCCTGCAATTCTCTGGGCAGCCTGGGTCCCGAGACTGTGCTCTGAAAGGGAGACTCTGAGCAGGAGATCGGGAGATCATGGTGGGAGCATTGTGGGCAGGAGGTTTTCCTATTCCAGAGATGTGCCGTCTCAGCTCTGTACGAGGCTGTGCTTTAGAAAGCTCTCCTACCTGGCACAGGCCCCGAGGGGCCTGTAGAGTCCCAGGCACCCAGCACTAAGAATCCCTGCTCCAGGGAGTGGGTGGGTGGAAGGGTAGGGGGTCACCCTGCCCCTGGCTCTGGGGGCAGCACCAAGGCGTCTGTTTCCAGGGCCAGCACAAGGTCTCCGGATCCTAGGAACAGGCAGGTGCCCTTGCTCCTGGTTCCCAGCTCTGCCTCGTCCTAGCTCTGTGACCTTGGGAAGCTACTCGACCTCTCGGGGCCTCCATGTTTTCAGCTGTAAAATGCCTGGGGTGGGGGGAGGGTGGGGCTGAGAGTATCCATTTCACTGGGCTGAGATGATGCAGGGAAATGGCCCCCATGAAGCAGCTTCGCCTTGCTCGTGGTGAGCACCCGACAAAGGGAGGTGACTACATCATCAGTGCCTCTGGGCACTACCCAAATGTACCCCAGGAGATCCCAGGCCCCTCCCTCCCCCATCCCCCAGCAAAAGAGGCCTTGGGATGGGGCCAGGCTGCCGCTGCACCTCTGAGCAGAAGCCTGGGCACTCCTCTCTGACTTTGGAGGAGGGCTGGTGAGCCCGTGGAGCTACCCCAAGGAAGACATTTCCTGGTGACACCCAAAAACCAGCCGTGACTCACCCTCCAGTGAACCGTAGAAGGATGCAGCACTGCCAGTCTGTCTGACCGTTCATGCCACTGGCCTCATGCCCCCACCCTGGGGCAGCAGGACTAGGTAGGCGGCCACCTGTCCTTTGCCTGGAGAGCCTGCCCCAACTCTGGCTGCCCCAGTCCACCAAGGGGCAGGATGGCCCCATGGTAACAGAGAGGTGGCAGGACCCTCCAGAGGTCGGAGCTGAGACTAGTGTCCAAGCTGATCACCCAGTCTGGCCCAGCCTACCAGCTTCACACGACCACCCCCAGGCAGGCCGCCATCTCAGGCAAGCGCCTGGCTGGGTGGAGGTGGATAGAAGGAGACAGGAAGTGGGAGAGGACCGTATAACCGCTGCTGGTTCCAGCCAGACCTGCCTGAGCCCAGTGCCCATCCAGGAGGCAGGGAGAAGGAAAGTGGGTGGCACTCATGCTACTGGGATAGGGTTGGGCCTGGAGCAAGCCAGACCTGATCCCTGCAAGCCTCACTGCTTTGACCTCCGAGACCTTAAGCTGGATACCTGGCCTCTCTAGGCATAGGGTCCCCATGTGAATGGTGATAGCATGCACCTCCTCCTAGGGCTCTTTGGGGTCACAGGAGGACAAGGGTATGTGATCATGTGATTCAGGAACGCTGAGGGTGGGATCAGGCCTAGTGCTTCAGGGGCCACTGCCCACTCCACCTCACTGGGCTTCCTCATGGAGGAGGCCCAACCAGGGACTGTCAGTGACTCAGCATCTGCTTTTGGGGGTGAAGCTGGGCTCAAGGGTACTTGGTACCCCCGGCAGGCCTTGGCATCATCAGGCAGAGCCCCCGCTGTGAATCCTTACGTGAGTCTCTATCACCTCCAAGGTCAGTCTGGCCCTCATACCTCTGTCACCTCCAGCCCTCCACATAGAGCAAGATGATGAGGGCCTCTGCTCATCTTTGAGGCCAGGGTGACAAGGCCCTGCATGCAAGGAGCTGGGGACTCTGTGCCCTCCACCTGGTCCCACATCCCCTTTGCTTTCCCACAGGAGGACCTGCAGCAACCTGCCCCCTCGCAGGAGGACGAGGCGCCCAAAGTGGAAGAGGAAGTGGCTGAGGCGGTAGGACCTGGGCTCCTGGTGTTACAGGGGGGTCCCTGGGCAAGCTGCTTCCCTCCTGGGGCCCCAGAGCCCTCAAGGGAGCCTCTTGACCTGCAGGCCCCTGAGCCTGAGTGTGAGGTCTCCTCATGGATGGCCCCCTCAGGGCAGAGGGGCACAGATGACACCTGTCCCCACCCCGCCCAGGGTGGCCACTGAGGGCTGGGGCCCCAGAGCTGTGTGTGAAAGTCTCTCTCTCTCCCAGACCAAGAGTGGAGGAGATTAGAGGGCTGCAGGTGAGCTCGGAGGCCATGGTCCCCACGTCCTTCCCTGGCTGCCCACAGGCTAGTCCTCCCATGCTGCCGCCACCACCATCACCTGCCTCCCTTGTTCCCTCACCCCCTCTGGTCCTTCTGACCCCACCGATGCTGCTATGAATTTTTTTTTTAATGATTCCAAATAAAACTCAAATCCCTACTGCATACCTGCTCAGGCCTCCTGTCTGTGCTGCCTCATTCATGAAGATGCCCTCTGGGCCCTCCTGGGAACAGGAGCTGGGCCAGGTATGCTACGGGAACACCTGGGCGTTTCTAGAACCTACTGATAGCGGGCACTGCCTTCAGGGAGTCCCCCTGCACCGCCACCCCGCCATTGCCGTTTTTTGTTTTTTGTTTTTCGGCCATGCTGCGTGGCTTGCAGGATCTCAGTTCCCCGACCAGGGATTGAAACCAGGCCACCCCCACTGGTTTTTCACATGGAGGTGGCAGCCCTGCTTTTGGCTCGGGCAGACACCTTCAAGGACACACTGTCCGCTGGAGCATGAGGCCGGGATGCCCCAGGTTTTGAGCTTTGGCTCACCCTCTGAGAATGGACCCCACTGACGACAGAGGGTGAGGATGGGCCTCCTGGGCCTTCCCTCCACGTGTGTCCTCGGTGGAAAAGTTCCTTCTGGGAACAGGGACACCTAACGCCCCTCCCTGGAGCAGATGGTAACTTTCAAAGATGGTTAGTCTAAACCCATAGTAGGGACTCTTTGCATCCTCCTCTGCGAAGAAGGACGTGACCCCAGGGTTCCTCCCGCCTGGTCCCACCCAGCCTTGAGCTCCCCACCAAGCTGGACCTGGGCTTTCCCTTTCACCGAAGAGTTCTGTCAAGTATCATTAGAAAACACAACAGCTTAGAAGCAGAAGAGCCAGCCTCCGCCTTGAGAGAAAAAGAGTAAAAACAACATTTGTTGAGCTCCTCCCAGGTGTGGGACACTGTACTGAGTGCTTTACCTCCTTTAATCCTCAAAACAAATGGCACGTCCCAGTTTCGTTGACAATGAACTGAGAAACAGTTAAATAACTTGCCCCAGGGCACAAAGCTAGGAAGCTGGGACCCGGGCAGAAGTCCAGGTGGCCTCGCTCCAGAGCCAGGCAGCTGATTCCCATGCTCTGCTCCGTCCACCCGGACTGCGGGGGCTCCAGTGGCGTTATGGCAGATGCTGCCACCCCCAAGGTTTCAAAACAACCCGGGGACCAGGGTGGTCGTTGTCCTACACGAAGGGCTATTGGCATCACGCCCTGGAGTCTTGTCAGAGGTGCCTGAGCAGAGAGCAAGGCTCCCTTTCCTTTGACAGCCAGTTTGGGTTCAGAGCATCTAAGTGGCTCGCCCCAGCCCTCCAGCCCTGGGTGTGGGCACCAAAACTTGAGTCCACACCACCCTCCCACCCTGCCTCTGTGGTGGGGAGCAGAGGTCAAGGGCAGCCCTGGGGGCTGGGAACCAGTCAAACACAGCTGAGCTTCGTTGTATCCCAGCCTGCCGGTCATGGGTATCCACGGCTGAGGAGGCAGAAAGGAGCAGTGAGCTGCTGCTCTTGCAGCCCCCAAACCCTACCGTGGGAGGAATGAAGGGTCTGGAAGAGGTGCGGGCAGTCCCAGGTGTTCCTGCTCCGGGCTCAGACACTGCTCATGAGCAGGCCTGTGCGTGCCCCAGGAGGAGGGCATCTGGGGCCTGGGCTTGCCGGAGAGAAAGCGGGGAGGAGCTGGGCCCTCTCAGGTAACTGGGGGAGGAGGACACCTAGACTCGGCCCCTGGGGTCCCAGTGCCCTCTCCTCTGCTGAAGGAACCTGGGAGGGTCCCTGCTGCTTGCCCCCCGCTCTCACCCCCATATTCAGGGCCAGTTCCTGTGATCAAACAACAAGGTCTGCCTGGTCCAGGTAGCCTCTTCCCCATCCCATGGGCACTGCAGTGCTCTTTGCCTTTAAGCCCCCTATTATGTGCTGTGGGATCTGTGGGGCTGCACCTGACTTCCCTAGAGGAGTTACTGCTCTCCCCCCATCCTCTCCTTATCCGAGAAGCGTCAGGCACCCTGTCCCTTTTTTTTTTTTTTCGGTAGGTGGCAGTTTTGTTTTATTTTTTAATATTTATTTATTTATTTTGGCTGCGCCGGGTCTTAGTTGTAGCACTTGGGATCTTCATTGCGGCATACGGACTCTTAGTTGCGGCGTGCATGTGGGATCTAGTTCCCGGACCAGGGATAGAACCCGGGCCCCCTGCATTGGGAGCATGGAGTCTTACCCACTAGACCACCAGGGAAGTCCCAGTAGGTGGCAGGTTTTTGGGGGGGTTTTTTTGTGGTACGCGGGCGTCTTACTGTTGTGCCCTCTCCCGTTGCGGAGCACAGGCTCCGGACGCGCAGGCTCAGTGGCCATGGCTCACGGGCCTAGCCGCCCTGCAGCATGTGGGATCTTCCCGGACCGGGGCACGAACCCGTGTCCCCTGCATCGGCAGGCGGACTCTCAACCACTGTGCCACCAGGGAAGCCCAGGTGGCAGTTTTAATAAGAGAACTTACATATGAGGCTTGTCTTGGGTGGCCACAAGATGAATAGATCTCTGCCCCAGCCCACCAAAATCTTAAAAGTTAACAGAGGACTTAACTCGGGTCAGTCATATATTCAATCCAGAGGGTTTCAACAACACCTTACTCTGTCAAGGCTGTGTCCTTGAAATGGCCGCTGGTATGGGAATTGCAGGCAGGACATACATTCCAAGGACAGGGGAGGGGGTGAGGAGCCTCTGATTGCCCAGGTCCAGCTCGCAAGGCAACCAACAGTTACACCCTCTTGATGACCTCTTCCAGCATTGCTGTAACAGATTTTTCAATCATCTACCAAGTATCAGGCAAGGTGCTTGACTCTGAGGAACCAAACTAAGCAAACTAGGTATGCTCTCTCCTCTCCAATTGCTCGGAATCTTGGAGGTGTCAGGGAGGAAGAAATTTTCCTTTACCTTTCTAGGTTCTTCTGGCTGGTTCAAAGAATCATACTGACATGAGACAGATTGACAGGAGAAAATCAAAATTTAATAGCGTGTATACATGGGACAGACCCAGGAAAACTGAGTAACTTGTCAAAATGGCTGAAGCCTTCACCTTAAATAGCATCTTCAGCTAAAGACAAAAGAGGATCTTGGGGCTAGAGATTTGGGGAAGAAGGCAATTGACATGGAGATGGAAAAGCAAATGTTCGGTAAATAAATGTTTGCTGGGCCATGTATGACAATGGGACACAGAGAGGAATTTTAACAAATAGACTTTTTTCGGTTCCTCCCTGTCTACACACCTAGTTCATACTCTAGTTATTTATGGCGATAGCTCTATTCCTGTAAGGCCCTCTCTCTAAATTCAGCTAAGGGGAAAGATCAAAGTTTTTCCCTGAGTCTTTTGGGCCTTGATTGTTTTCACCTTGAAATAACTGGCTTGCCAAAATGACATTTTGGAGTGTCAAATTTTGCTCTCCTACAGAGGGAAGAGAGAGAATTTGAAAAGCAATCACTGAAGTCTGGTGTCATGTTCGGGAAGTACAGAATGCTGGGAGGCCCAATCTGGCATACTTCATCTAATCTGTGATAGTTAAGGAAGGCTTCCCAGAGGTTGTGATATATACTTTTTTAATTTATTTATTTATTTATTTTTTGGCTGCGTTCGGTCTTTGCTCCTGTGCGCCGGCTTTCTTTAGTTGTGGCGACTGGGGGCTACTCTTCGTTGCGTTGTGCAGGCCTCTCATTGTGGTGGCTTCTCTTGTTGCGGAGCACGGGCTCTAGGGCGCACAGGCTTCAGTAGTTGTGGCGCACGGGCTTAGTTGCTCTGCATGGGGGATCTTCCTGGACCAGGTCTCAAACCTGTGTCCCCTGCATTGGCAGGCGGATTCTTAACCACTGGACCACCAGGGAAGCCCGTGGTTGTGATATTTTCGATGAAACTGGAAGGATGAGTAAGAATTAGCAAGATTAAGGGGGCCTTCCCTCCCCCCACCTTGAAGGACCCTCAGCTGAGTGTCAGGCATCCATCAGCCCAGTTAATCCTCACCGTAACACTCTGGGGAGATTCTGGTATTGTGCCCCCACCGTCAGGCTTGATGAGGCTCCTTGAGACACTGAGGCGCAGAGAGATGAAGGAACTTGCCCTGGGGGTATGTGAACCCAAGAGGTCTGACTCCGGTGCCTGAGGCTTTACAGCCACTCAACTGTCCGTTTTGTCGCCTGCTTGGGCCCAAAAGCCCCTCCCAGAGAGGCTGCTGCCTCCCAGTCTCGCTCCTTGCCCACTGGGCCTGGTGCCAAATAGCAACAGCAGCTCAGTGGTGAGCTAACTTGGAGCCGTGTAAAAGGCCTTCCTGGCTAAAGGGACTGGTGCTGCTGGTGGTTTTTCAGGAGGGCTGGCAGGCCTGGGGCAGGGTCTGGGCGGGCCTCGCCGGAGTCCAGGAGGTACCATCAGGCGGCTCTGCAGCGCCTTCGTGCTCGAGGCTGGACCAGGCTCAAGGCCGGGAGGGGCGGGGCAGGGCGGGGCAGCTGCTTTCTTAGTCTGCATTTGGTGTCCCATCCCCCCACCTGATCTCAGCGCCTGCCCCTTCCTCTTGCCCGGGAATCCTTCTCCCTTAATCAATTTCGTGTGTGTGTGTTTCCATATACCCCACACCAGGGGCTGACCCTCCAAGGCTTATCCACCCCTCCCCACGCATTACAGGCAGAGCTTGGGCCAGCCGAGTGGACCTGGGTAGGTGGGAGCTTCCCAGAGCTCCAAAATAAGGGAGACCCCGACGGACGTGCAGAAACAGGCCCAAAGAGGATGAATCAGAGAGCAGCCTTAGAGAGGGTCGAGCCGCCGCACCCAGACGCTTCTCTGGCCCCTTTCTCTCGGACCAGTGAACCTCGCACGGGAGCGCTCCCTAATAAAGCTCACTTGAAGCTTTCCTCTGTTTCGCGGTGCCGTTTGTTAAGATCCGAGCTTACAGTGCCTCGAGGGTCTTTTGCTTTTTCTGGGATCCCTGGTTGCCCTACTGACGCTCAGGTCACTAACTCCCCTCCCAGCGCCCCCGCTCGTCACCACGCCCCGCGCGCCGGTCCCAGGAGTGGTGACCTGAGAGGCCTGCGGCTTGGCCGCTCTCTTCCTCGCTGTTCGGCCTGGGGTGCTTCCTGCCCAAGTCGTTGGGCTTTGGTGACCGACAACGATTTCCTTGCGTTGGCTGGACACACACGGGCCGCCTTCTCCGTTACTCCCCCTCCACCTCAGGCTGCTTGGTCCCCAGCCAGGGTCGCACGCACGCCAGTGACTCACCCTCTCGGAAGGGGGTGGGATTTACTCGACCATCTCCCCACTGCGCTCCCTCCCTACCCCTGTCCCAGCAGCGGCTGGGCAGAGGGCCAGTCTGCAGTGTCTAGGCTGAGTGTATGGGGACCACCAGCTCGGCGTGGGTCAGGGCGCTAGGGTTTACAGCCCACCGACTCGGACTTGAGTCCCTGACATGTGAATTTGGGTGAAACCTAACTCGCCCTCTGTCCTCAATTGCTTCCTGTAAACTGCCAATAACACCTATTCCAAGAGTTGTGAAGGTTACACTAGAGGCTGTAAGCGTTAGGGCAGCGCCAGGCACAAGGTAAATGCTTAATAAAAGGCAGCTGCTATTATTAATTACAACTCCAGCCTGGAGATCCTGACCTGGTGCTGACCCCGCGCTCACAGGTTGGGGAATCTTCAGGGTCAAAGAGGAAAAGTCCCGCTCACGCGGTAGAGGGAGATTGGTGCGCCCCCCTCTGCCCCCAGCCGCTCTCTGGACCCCTGATCCAGTCCCTCTGCAGCCCCGAGGCCCGCTCCAGACCCTCGGCCTTCCCACTACGGCCCGCCGGAGGCCAGGTTGTGCTTTCGGGCCGGCGGGGACTGGAGCAGGGCCCGGTCACTCCCCTGAGCTCGAGTGCTGGGAACCGCCCCGCGCCCCCTCCAACCCCCCTCCTTGCGGGGCGGGCCGGCCCTGGGGCGCCTTAAAAACCGGAGCTGGTGCTCGGGTCGCCGCCGCTTTGAGCAGGATCCAACGTCGCTACGGTTATCCTGAAGCACCTCGCAGACCCCAACAGCCATGGCCAGCAAAGGCTTGCAGGACCTGACGCAGCAAGTGCAGGGGGCGGCCCAGGAAGCGGGTGAGGACAGCGCGCGACCTGGGGCACATAGTGGGACCCCCGGGTGGACGCGGGGGTGGGGCCGGGGGCAGAAGCCTGGGGACTGCGCAGCCGGAAAGTCGGCGGGCGGTTCTGGCTAGGAAGGGCCCTCTCCGGAGCTGCAGGGACCCGGAAGGACGCCCACCCGGACCAGCCCGGGAATGATGCCTTGAGGGAAGTGGGAGAACAGCAGTGCCAGAGGAGTGGGGCGGGGGGGGGGGGTGCTTTGGGCATTGCCAGAGCCAATCCGAGGCAGCTGCTAGGGCCGGGAGCGGCCCCACCCTGGCCCTCGGGAGAGTGACGGTCCACGAGGAGAGCGCGCTCCGCCACCACGCCCGATCTCTGCCCGCCAGGTCCCAGAGGCGCACAGAAACAGGATGGGACGGGTGGCTTCAGACTCTCACCGGGCTTTGTTTTGAGCACTCCCCGCCCTCCTCCGAAATACTCATTTCCTCTTAAGTCCTCAGGCAGAGGATCTTCCCACCTTCATGCGGGCAGGGCAGGTCCCCAGTCTTAGTTTCTCCACCTCTGGCTCTTTCCCCCTCAGACCTGAGGTTATGCAGCTGGGGGCTGGGGATGGACTGGGGAGTAGGGTACGTGAGGAGACTTCAGCCCCACCAGCGGCAGCTCTTCCAGTCCCAGCTCAGCCTCCCTTGGGACTCCAGCTCCCAGTCTGTCCCAGTCAACAGACAACACCTAAACCAACCCCCTCCTTCATCAGTGCCCCAAGGAAAGCCCACAGTTGCTCCCCTGAGGCTAAAATGGTACCAGGAAGCCTCAGTCTACACTACCCTTCCTTCTGGGCCTCACTTTCCCCATCTGTAAGCTGAGTGCAGAGTCTCCTTCCCTGTGGTCTTGACTGTGCTACGTCAGACAGAGACCCCAGGGACCTCTTTGAGCAGTAGACCCAGGGTCTGCCTGACCCCTGTACCCCCTGGTCCCCAGGGTCTGGGTAAAGCAGGTCCTTTCCTGTTCAACAGCAAGGATGAGTCAGATCTCTGAAGGCCAGAGCCACCTGTCTGCCTACCGAGCAGGTGGGGACCCACCTGAGCCCCTGGAAACCCTGTTCTTCACAGGCACGAACTCCGGTCTAGAGGAGATGGCCTGACTTTGGAAGTTTCACCTACTTTCCACACTTCGTTTCCTAATGCCTTACGCTGCCTTCTCACGGAGGCATTGGCAGTCATTGCTTGTGTGCCCTCTGGGGAGAGGCACAGGAGACAGGCGGTGGTGAGAGGGCCTTGCAAAGTGGAAGCCCCAGTGCTCTAAGTGTGGGAATTCAGGCATCTGGGCCAAGCCTCGGGGGAGAAGTTGTTAAAGGCGGCAGGGTTCTCCCTGGGCTGTGCCCAGCAGTAGCCACAGCCCAGATGCCAATTCCAGCCTGGCCCAGCCCTGCCTTCCTTCCTCACTTGGATATTTTTGCAGCAATCCTGGAGAGGCAAGGGAAGCAGGCCAGAGGGGAGGAGCCCAGAGTTACAAATAAACAAGAACAACCTGGAGTCATGGAAAGGGCTCATGCCCCTCACTGAGTGGCCTTGGTCAAAGAACTTTACCTCAGTGGCATCCATCCCTGGGCCTGTAGGACAGACCACTCTAGAGAACAGATAAGGTTGGCAATGGTGGGGCCCCTGTGGTTGGTGGTATCTCAACAGGATCCCACATGTCTCTGTTCTAGTGACGGCGGCTGGAGCAGCAACTCAGCAAGTGGTGGATGAGACCACAGAGACAGGGCAGAAAGGTGGGCTGGTGGGCAGGAGGGTGGACAGCCCCAGCGCGGCCCTGCCCTCCACCCAGCCCTTGCCCAGACACACCTTCTCCTCTGCAGACGCTCTACCAGCATTTCTTCCTGGGGAGGGAGACCCAGGCCAGGCTAACCCCGCAGGGCTGTGGTTCCCCAGGGCCCCGCACTCAACTGCCCTATCCTTTCCTTTCCCAGCCATGGACCAGGTTGCCAAGTCTACCCAGGAAACCATCGACAAGACTGCTAACCAGGCCTCTGAGGCTTTCTCGGGTTTGGGGAAAATACTCCGCCTCCTGAAATGACAGAAGGGAGACATGGGTGACTCCCTTCCAGGCCCGGAGCTCTAGCAGGCTCTTGGCGGGCCACCTCATTAAAGCACATATGCCTACTCTGTGTCCACTTAATGCCTCCTCCCAAACTGGGCCCAGCCCTCCCTCACTTAGAGCAGAGGCTCAGGTATCCAGAAACTCAGCCCTGACGTCCAGAGTCCTGGCATTCCAAATTCGGAAACCCAGACGGATTGTCCAATAACTCATTTCCCATGTCTTAACCGTGCGTCCAGACTCCCACTTATCCGAAGTTCAACCCCCCCATCTAGATACGTGACCCTCTCCCGCTCTATTGCCCCTGCCCCCGATTCCAAAACCGCTCCCTCAGCTCCAGGAACCCGCCCCTTCCTAGGAGGGGGATACTCGGTGCCCATATCCTCGAGGAGCTCAGGTCTGGGCGGGGGCCTCAGGAACTTCTCCCAGTGAGCTAAGCCCGGGGCGGGGGGCTGGAAGCATCGAGGCATCCCAGGGCCAGGCGCCCTCGAGGACTTAAGGGGGCAGGAATTCTTGGGGAAGAGGGGGGACGCAGGGACGGAGCTTTTGGCCATCATCACCCTACGCCGCCCGCCCGGTGCTTGCGCGACTGTCGCACCCGACGGTGAGTCACGGGGCCGGACCGGGAGGGCGAGGACACGCCCCGAAGATCTGAGTCCCACCCAGTTGTGTTTGGCGCGGTCGCCAGGAGCTCCGCCCAAGACGCGCCTCCTTGGGAGGTGCCTGCGGCGCACGGGGCGGTGCACGTGGGCGCGGCGCACGTGGGCGTGAAGCGCTGGGACCCGGCTGTGTGCGTGCGCGCGCTAGGCCACTCCCTCGGGTACCCCTTCCCTTCCGGATGCGCCTGTACTTTCTGGCCCAGCGCGGAGGTCGACTTTTTTATCGGGCAGGTTTCCCCAGAGGGTCTAGAGTTCGCTTAAACCTTATTCCCTCCGACCTCCCCAGCACGTGTCCACGTGTCCATGCACGCGATACCAACCCTGGGTAAGTCCTGTTGATGGGTGACTCAGTGTTGCCACAGGATAAGGTCCAGCCATGGCGCCGGCCGCTGGCTTCCCTATTCATCCGAACCCCCGCCACACCTCGGCAGGTGACGGCCCGTTCCGTTTCCCCACCTCCACGCCTTTGCACACACTATTCCTTCTGTCCGTAATGATCTCGTTCTCTTCTGGATGAGCACATACGTAGTCATGCCGTTTCAACTCACTAATATTGGCTACACAGCACTTCTTAGTTCTGGGGAGATTGAGGAAAAAAACCGTCATCTTTCCTTCACACGCTGACTCGGGGCCGGCTTTCCCAGAGGCGTTCCAGACATGCCAGCAGGGGGCAGTGTCGTCGTGTCCACCCCCTATCCCTCCCCTTCACACCCCACAGGTGACCTTTCCCTTCTCCGATCTGAGATCCCTCCCAAGGAAGCAACAGGTCTCCTCCCTAACCCTTAGCATCTCTCACCCTCACCCCAGGGCCAGGCCCAGTTTCATGCTTGGTTCCTGTTGCTGACTGTCCCCCAAAGAAGGGCTCAGCTGCAAAATGGGCGAAGGCCTAAAGGGAAGGTCCTTGAAGAGATACCTGGGGTAATCTGGAGGTGCTTCCAGCATTTCCAGGAGCCCCTCCCCCCAGGAGAGGACGCCAGGGTTGGGAGAGACCACCTGGGGCCACAGCAGGAGGCAGGTGGGGCTGGACTGGCAGAGCCCTCACATTTTTCTGGAATGCATCCTTCCCCTGCCTGACTCAGGAGAAATTCCAATTGGCCCAACAATCCCTCTTCATCCTGTTCTCCTTGTGGGTGTCGGCCTTAGGGATGGATGTGTGAGCCAGCTCAGGCCAAGGACAGGAGGAGTCAGGTCTAGGGCCAGGAGCCTTCTAGGAAAGGTTTTTCATCCTCAAAAAGAAAAGAAAAGAAAACCAAGGAAGAAACATTTTCTCCTATTCCACTGAACATTTTTGTGTCTAGAAATGATTTTTAGAACTCTGACAGCTACTTCTAACCACAGGAGGAACAAGCCTAAGGAAAAGCCAACTTGCTGATTAGGGCAGAGCAGAAATATAGAAAGAACCTGGATCCCAAGTTACTTTATTCAGTCCCTAACTTAACCAGGCCTGCAGCTGCCAGGAGCTAGGTGAGAGGATCAATTTCCTCATTGTTTGAGCCGCTGTGAATTAGGTTTTCTGTTGCAAACAAAAGCTTAAATCCTGATGTTACCTCCAAGCTAATGTCCTGTATTTGCCGGTCTCACCCACCTCCCCAGCCTCCTCCCCCAGCACGCCCTCCCTCTCTGCCTCAGCCAGGTTAACCCTTGTTCATTTCCCTTAACATTGTGCTTCTGCTCATCTCAGTCTTTGCATGTGCCCTTTTTTTCTACCCGGAATGCTGTCCATGCTCCGTCATTAACCACCCTTGTCCAAGTTGCTCCTGCTCTTTCATCCTTCAGATCTCAGCTTCCCTGATCCTCCCCCAACATACACAGAATGGGTCTGGCCTCTGCCGATACGTTCTCACACCCCCTGTACTTCTTTCCCACGGTTATATACTAATGAGCTGCTCTCCTGTGTGCTTCACTGTGATGGTTGTCCACGGGTTGCAGCCAAGTCCCTTCCACTGATTAGTGCACACCCAGAGCCTAGAGTGGGGCTCCGGCAACATCTGCCATGTGAATGCAGGGATGACGGTCCTTTGGTTCTCCTACCAGATAACAGAGTTGGCACATTGTCAGGTTCACCAGGGTGCAACCTCCTACAATGCAGCCCCTTCCACAAACCCTACCGCCATGCAGCTGATCTCCCATGCACCGTGCAAATGCCTGTTTCTGTGTGCCTCTATTCCCCCAACACTGAGCCCTGGGGCGCAGGGCCAGGTTGGACTTGTCTTTGGTCCTATGTCTGGGACAAGGTGGGCATGGTGCTGGGGAGCCATGGGAGCTTATAGGAGCCCAGGCCTGTCTCCGTGAGGTTCATGAAGCTAGCTGAGCCCAGATGGGCTGAGGAGAAGGCAGCTGTGGCCACTGCACCTGTTGGGTCTTGGTCAAATCTCCAAAGATTAATTCTTCCATTAGCAGTTCCTCAGATAGTTCCTAATTCTCCAAATCCCAGTTCCCCAACTAACCAAAGTCACTAACATCACATTTTGGTTCCACTGGACTTCTCAGCTCTGATTCCCATCAAATTACAGATGAGAAGGGGCAGAGTCTTCTGCTTTCCACCTTCTCTCCTTTTCTCCTATTTTTTTTTGTTGTTGTTGTTCGTTGTCTCATTCCTACTTTGAGAAAACACATAGCATTTGCATCCCATTCCTCCACACGTTCACCTTTGTTCTGTCTTCGATCTGCAACTGAAGATATTAGAAGCGCTCTGCCATTCCTTCTGCTGAAATGTTTTCTGTTATCTCTTGGTGGTTTGGAGTTAGCCCTCTAAAAGTTGCCTCAAGAATGAAATCTTTTCAGATGAATTGAGAAGACGTCTGGGATCTGAGCTGAGAACTGTTACAGCTGGGCCCCTTGGGTTATTGCGTTGTGACCATGAGGGTTCACAGTGTCCTATTTTTGTGTATGGCATTTTGTATTTTTTTAAAAAAAGGCTAAAAAGTTAAAATAAAAATTTTTTTAAAAAAGAAGGGCTCATGTGAACCACATTCTGAGTTCTTAAACGTGCGGTAATGTTGGTCTGTAGCCTTTATACTGTATCCTCAACTGGGTTTGAAATTTACTTCTCACACTTTTTTCCATGGGCATCATCTAGGTGTGGCTGCCCCACTTTCTGCCACAGAAGGTTGAGCGGTCCCTAGAAGTCTGATTTCTAACTCACTGGAATTTCTAATAAGTGACTTGATCTTTCTGGCTGGCTGGCTTTCTTTATCTTTTTCATCTTTTTTATTGAAATATAGTTGATTTACAGTGTTGTGTCAGTTTTGTATATGATTCAATTACATATACAAAAGTGATTCAATTACATATACATATTTTTTCAGATTCTTTTCCATTATAGGTTATTGCAAGATATTGAATATAGTTCCTTGTGCTATACACTAGGTCCTTGTTGTTTATCTATTTTATATATAGTAGTGTGTATTAATCCCAAACTCCTAATTTATCCCTCTCACCCCTTTATCTTTAAGGTACAATAATTTTTTTAGGGTTCGTCTCGGTGATGGTTGTTCTGGTTCAGTTTTCCCTAGTATGCTGTTTGCTTTTTCCATATTGATTCTAGATTTCTTTTATTTCAGGAACATTTCTTAATTGTATTTTTAAATATTTGCTCTGTTCTGTTGCTTGGCTTTCTTCTTTGGGAATTCCAGTTGTGGGCACAAAGTTTTCTACCTTACACATCTGCCATTGTCTCCCAAACACTGTGTATGTCTTTAATACGACTCCTTCTTTTTTCTTTGCTTTTTTTCATTTCTGTTCCCATAGGTACCTACTGTGGCTCCTTCTAGTTTAGTCTTCATTTCTGCAATGGTTTGTTTTACCTTTTTTCTTCTGTTTTATTCCAGAGTTATGTAAGTTCCTATTCTGCCTGCTCCTGTCGTCTGCCATCTCATCCCTGAATTCTGGTATTTCTGTTTTACAGTCTTCCTTCATAACTACTAATGCTTTATTAAGTGTCTTATTTTCTTTCTAAAATTCATGTTGGAGTTTAATTCATGTTAGGTAATAATTTTCATGTGCCTTCTTTGAGGCACACTTTTTTGTGGGATTTCTTTGTATGTGATGTCGTTTTGGTATTCTTTTTCATATTTAAAAAATAGTATGTTTTTACTGTTAGGTAGAAAAAAGTGAAGTCAAAACTGCATATCTCTGGTATGCTAGCATTCCTGTAAAGAAAGAAGGAGGATGCAAGAAAATATGCAGGGCACATGTCTCTGCATATTTGTGGGAAGGAAATGCAGGAGGATAAACCAGAATCAGAGAGACCAGTTACCTACACGGGACAGGTGGGAAGGCAGTGGAAAGAAGGAGGGAATGGCAACAGGGTAGCAGAGATGAGGAGAGAGTGACACTTAACTTCAGAAAAGTTAAATTTGATGTGTGAGTTGGTGATGGGCTTTTAAAAATTCTTCTTCCTGTGTTCTTGTTGCCCCATAGAGTTTCAGGAAGGAGAAATGGGCTGAATTAAGAATTAAGCTATAGCCACGTTGCTTCCAGACTTAGAAGTCTGGCAGGTTGAGCTGGTGTTCTCTGTTTACCGAGAATCCACATCCTGCCCTCGCCCTGGTAACCTGCCTCTTGAACCGCATCACCCGGGCTCCCTCACCCTCAGGACTCGGTTGCGTTCAGCCAGTGGGGGATATTGATAGGAGATGGAGAAGAAGAGGAGAGGAATTTATTCCTCCTGCTTCCTTCTTGCTGGGTGTGGTTGGGCAGTGGCCCTCTTCCTCTGCTGACAGCTGCAGCTCCTGTCTGCTGACCCTCTCCTACAGCTGCAGCTCTCTTCGGGGTCTACAGCCCCTCCAGGCCCAGGGAGGAAACAACTCCCACTGCTCCTGGTCGCTGGGGGCCTCGCCATCCCTCTTTGGTTCCCTTAAGTCTGTCCACACCTTTGTGAACTGTCCCTTTCCTCAGGTATCCCTTTGATGTGCCCTCTGATTTTTTCCAGAACCCTGACTGACACCCATGGACGTATGAGTGCTGATATGCTGGGGAAGTCTTCCTTTGGTGACTGACAAACCGAGTCTCCAGGAGTCTAGTCTCCCTGTGGCTGGGAGGGGTCTGTATGTGCAAGGTATGTGGGCTGTATATACTGGGAGCTCAAGTCCATGAAGCAGAAGTAGGAGAAAGCATAGGCAGGATGACAGTCATAAAACTCTTGACATTCATGGCATTTGCAGTTCAAATCACAGGAGAAAAAAAACCATCATGCCTCAGACATAAGACAGCCCTAAGTATTTACTCACAGGTTTTATTTTCAGAATTATTAACTGCTCAGTTGGCAAATTGCTGTTTGAAAAATTGACTGTCCTGACTTGACGATGTGGTCAGCTGGTCCTTTGCCAGCCTGGGCTGTTGAGCAGATTCTACTTGGAGAATTAGTTGACTCTTGTCATGCCTTGATTCTCCCCGCCCCAAGTGCAGGACTTGACCTTCTGACTCAGGACAGGCTGACATGGGTGCCTGTGTTCAAGGCCTGCTCTGTTGGGGCCCAGCACGTACCAGGCTTCTTCCAAGATGGGATGGTTCCCACCTGAGTCATCTCAACCTCACCCAGGCAGGTAACACTGCTCACTGCAGGAGTCACCCAACCCCTCAGACCAGAATCCCGGTTAGGAGGGTCTTGGGCTGTCCTAGTTTCTTTGGATGGGAGCCACAGATGGGCTGGGCTGAGCTGAGAGGACAGGGAGCTGGTCAGAGCTAGAGTGGGAAGGCCTGTGGGACTAGATGTGGGCCAGAGCACCAAGGTCCGGGGCCCAAGTCCAGTCTTGGGCCGCTTGGCCTCTCCAGCTCTCTTGCCTTCCCCCTGTTGGGCATTTGGGACCTGTGCCTGAACCCAGCCTTGCCAGGAGATCTGGGGCCATGGTGTGTTGTCACTGGAGTCTGGGTGCTCACACTGGGGCCAGGCATTAAGGAGGAGAGGGTCCCATGTGCAGGGGGGATGGGGTGAAGGCAACAGCAGTCTGACAGGGAGGGAAAAGTGCAGCCGGAGTCCTGCTGAGTGGCCGAGCCGTGACCAGGGCCTGTCGAGGAGCTGGTGAGCTCCTGAGGAGAGGGGGATGGTGGGGAGGGGTCGTGGGCTCTGGAAGCTATCCTAGACCTGGTGGGTGACACTGCCATCCTGACGGGGAGTCCGGCGCAAAGGACCCCTCTGGGGGTGGGGGACACACACACGTCAGAGGAAACAGGGAAGGGGCTCTGATGGGCCTAGGGAGCATCTCTGTGGGTCTCTCAGACCAGTTCCCACCAGCCATGTCCCAGGAGTGCCCCCACCCTTGGCAGCATTGTCCTGATAGTGTGAGCAGAGCTCTCTGGTGTTTGGCTGTGGCAAGGGGAGGCCAGAGTCATCTGGACCTGCTTAAGCTCCAGGGCCCTCACTGTCATGGCCCCTCCTGAGTCCACAGGGTAGTGCATATATATTTATAAAACTTGCAAGAGAGAAGTAGTGTATTTTTTCTTACAGGGACTCTCCAGATTGTTTAAGACTTGATCTACTCCTGCCAGTGGCACGTGTGGGGCTGTGACCTTGTGACCCAGAGTTCCTGCTGCGCACAGCATCCCCTGCCCACCCCAGGCGGGCCGGCCACTGCCCAGGGCCTCCCGGTACCACTCAGGAATGTGGGAGGGCCTCAGCTCCATAAAGCCTGTGTCAGGTAAACACTAATTAGATGCCACCACACCCTCCTGGACCCCTCTGAGGGATGAGGGAGCCTACATGGGGGGAGCAGCCTCAAACTCCTGCCCCAGGCCTGGACTTTTTGAGTAGGGCCTTGGGAGAGCCTTTCCTCCATGACTCCTGGCCAGTGGCGGCGGGTCCCATCTCCAGGCCCTCTCACTCCGAGGCAGGCTCATACCCCTGCCACTCTTTGCTCCACCCACTGGTTGGTCAGGGCTCACTGCCAAGCAGCCCCTCCCTAGCACATCAGTGACGAGGGGGTGGGAACAGAAGTTTACCAAGAGTTTGCGCGCATAGTTCCAGCAACTGTCAGTGACAAGGCAAGGCAGGCATGGATGCCCCCATTTTACAGATGAGGAAACTGAGGCTCAGGCTGGGCTAGTGACTAAGGGAAGCAGCATGTAGTATGTGACCTGAGGCATCTCTCTCCATCCTGAGTAACTAGGGAGGCAGCCTGGCTCCCTAAGCATGTGTGTGGTGCATCAGGGGCTAGTAGAGCTGCTTTCTGGGAACTCTTGCTACGGCCAGAAGCACCTCCCCAGATGGTAGTGGGGTCCTCCATCTACTCCCCTAGAACCGCCTGGGTGGGCACTGCTGACTTCATCGGGCTCCCCTGAGAGGCCAGGCCCCAAGGCGCAGGGCGGGCTGGGTTCCGTCACATGCTGGCTGTCTCAGTGCTGGGTCACTCGGGTGCTCCCATGAGTGAGAACCAGGTGACTGCAAGCCAGGGATGACTAGGCTTCTGGTCAATATTGTGTCCTCCTCTGCCTTGGGCCAGGCATGGCCCTGACTCCTCCCGCCCCCTAGCCTGTCCAGGGGAGGCTGCAAAGCCACTCTCCAGAACTGAGGTCCTTGGGAATGGGGAGGGCAGCGGCCCCCATTACACTTGTATTCCTGGCCTGAGGGGCCGCCCAGGTCCCCAGGCCCACAAAACCCTAAACCCTTGATTAGGTCACTCTGGAGACTGTGGGCAGCGGGCTGGAAGGCCTAGCCCTTGTCTAGGTACCATGCCTAGGATACGGGGAGCCGAGGGGGCTGGCAGGGCTGCAGTCCCCAAGTGCCTCTCACCCCACAGGGCGCTCGGGCCTCTTGCCTTGGGGCAGGGGCATGTCCCAGAGCTGATCTCTCTGTCCAGCCTCACCCTGCTCCCTGTCCCTGCCCCTCACAGGGTCCCAGGAGATGGGGTGTATGGGTCTCATGCTGCCGGAGAGGCACTGCCCCAGCCACAACGCTGGGGTGGCTCCACCCAGCCTCTTCCTCCTGCCATCTGTGCTGACTCACCACCAGGGCCAGGGCTTGTGCCCCAGAGCCCAGCCAGGCATCTATAAAAGCAGACTGGTTCAGGCCCCAGCATCCTGCTTGATCACCACCTGTCGCCTCACAATGTTGGGAGGCCTGGGGAAGCTTGCCGCCGAGGGTCTGGCCCACCGCACCGAGAAGGCCACCGAGGAAGCTGGTAAGGACCCCGAGGCTTCTTTCCACCTGCACCGTTCCTGCCACTGGGGGATCGGGACAGACTTGACTGGGCCTGTGCTGATCCCAGCAGGACTGGGGCAGGCCTTGACCCCATGGGGAGCTGATCAGCCGCATAGGGACAGGATGGAGGTGGGGGGCTATGGAAGCTGAGGAAGGGACCTCGGGGAGGAGACATGAGGGGTCCACTGCCCCAAGCAACCCTCCCAGTCAGACCTGCTCTGTCCCCTGGGCTTGATACATTCCTGGGGTCTGTGGCTGAGGCCCGGAGGGGGCAGCTCAGAGGAGGCCCCTGGTGGCAAGAGGGGAGCCAGGGTGCTGGGTGAGCAGCTGGTGGCTTAAATCCGTCACTCTGGAAAGCAGGGAGGGGCCCTTCAGTATTAAAACAAACTATTCCGAGTATCCTATACAAAAAAAGGAAGACAGAGTTTAATTTTTACCATAACTTTATCTTATTTTATTTTATTCTACATCTTTATTGGAGTATAATTGCTTTACAATGGTGTGTTAGTTTCTGCTTCATAACAAAGTGAATCAGTTATACATATACATATGTTCCCATATCTCTTCCCTCTTGCGTCTCCCTCCCTCCCACCCTCCCTATCCCACCCCTCTAGGTGGTCACAAAGCACTGAGCTGATCTCCCTGTGCTATGTGGCTGCTTCCCACTAGCTATCTACCTTACGTTTGTTAGTGTATATATGTCCGTGCCTCTCTCTCGCTTTGTCACAGCTTACCCTTCACCCTCCCCATATCCTCAAGTCCGTTCTCTAGTAGGTCTGTGTCTTTATTCCTGTCTTACCCCTAGGTTCTTCATGACATTTTTTTCCCTTAAATTCCATATATATGTATTAGCATATGGTATTTGTCTTTCTCTTTCCGACTTGCTTCACTCTGTATGACAGACTCCAAGGTCTATCCACCTCATTACAAATAGCTCAATTTCGTTTCTTTTTATGGCTGAGTAATATTCCATTGTATATATGTGCCACATCTTCTTTATCCATTCATCCGATGATGGACACTTAGGTTGTTTCTATCTCCGGGCTATTGTAAATAGAGCTGCAATGAACATTTTGGTACATGACCCTTTTTGAATTATGGTTTTCTCAGGGTATATGCCCAGTAGTGGGATTGCTGGGTCATATGGTAGTTTTATTTGTAGTTCTTTAAGGAACCTCCATACTGTTCTCCACAGTGGCTGTACCAATTCACATTCCCACTAGCAGTGCAAGAGTGTTCCATTTTCTCCATACCCTCCCCAGCATTTATTGTTTCTAGATTTTTTGATGATGGCCATTCTGACTGGTGTGAGATGATATCTCATTGTAGTTTTGATTTGCATTTCTCTAATGATTAATGATGTTGAGCATTCTTTCATGTGTTTGTTGGCAGTCTGTATATGTTCTTTGGAGAAATGTCTATTTAGGCTTTCTGCCCATTTTTGGATTGGGTTGTTTGTTTTTTGAGCTGCATGAGCTGCTTGTAAAGTTTGGAGATTAATCCTTTGTCAGTTGCTTCATTTGCAAATATTTTCTCCCATTCTGAGGGTTCTCTTTTGGACTTGTTTATGGTTTCCTTTGCTGTGCAAAAGCTTTGAAGTTTCATTAGGTACCATTTGTTTATTTTTGTTTTTATTTCCATTTCTCTAGGAGGTGGGTCAGAAAGGATCTTGCTGTGATTTATGTCATAGAGTGTTCTGCCTATGTTTTCCTCTAAGAGTTTGATAGTTTCTGGCCTTACATTTAGGTCTTTAATCCGTTTTGAGCTTATTTTTGTGTATGGTGTTAGGGAGTGATCTAATCTCATACTTTTATGAGATTTTTTTTTTCCTCCACTGTACATTCCTGCCTCCTTTATCAAAGATAAGGTGACCATATGTGCGTAGGTTTATCTCTGGGCTTTCTATCCTGTACCATACTGTCTTGATTACTGTAGCTTTGTAGTATAGTCTGAAGTCAGGGAGCCTGATTCCTCCAGCTCCGTTTTTTGTTCTCAAGATTACTTTGGCTATTCGGGGTCTTTTGTGTTTCCCTACAAACTGTGAAATTTTTTGTTTTAGTTCTGTGAAAAATGCCAGTGGTAGTTTGATAGGGATTGCATTGAATCTGTAGATTGCTTTGGGTAGTAGAGTCATTTTCACAATGTTGATTTTTCCAATCCAAGAACATGGTGTATCCCTCCATCTATTTGTATCATCTTTAATTTCTTTCATCAGTGTCTTATAATTTTCTGCATACAGGTCTTTTGTCTCCATAGGTAGGTTTATTCCTAGATATTTTATTCTTTTTGTTGCAATGGTAAATGGGAGTGTTTTCTTGATTTCACTTTCAGATTCTTCATCATTAGTGTATAGGAATGCCAGAGATTTCTGTGCATTAATTTTGTATCCTGCTACTTTACCAAGTTCATTGATTAGCTCTAGTAGTTTTCTGGTAGCATCTTTAGGATTCTCTATATATAGTATGTCATCTGCAAACAGTGACAGCTTTACTTCTTCTTTTCCAATTTGGATTCCTTTTATTTCCTTTTCTTCTCTGATTGCTGTGGCTAAAACTTCCAAAACTATGTCGAATAAGAGTGGTGAGAGTGGGCAACCTTGTCTTGTTCCTGATCTTAGAGGAAATGCTTTCAGTTTTTCACCATGGAGGACGATATTGGCTGTGGGTTTGTCATATATGGCCTTTATTATGTTGAGGAAAGTTCCCTCTATGCCTGCTTTCTGCAGGGTTTTTATCATAACTGGGTGTTGAATTTTGTCGAAAGCTTTCTCTGCATCTATTGAGATGATCATATGGTTTTTCCCCTTCAATTTGTTAATGTGGTGTATTACGTTGATAGATTTGCGTATATTGAAGAATCCTTGCATTCCTGGAATAAACCCCACTTGATCATGGTGTATGATCCTTTTAATGTGCTGTTGGATTCTGTTTGCTAGTATTTTGTTGAGGATTTTTGCATCTATGTTTGTCAGTGATATTGGCCTGTAGTTTTCATTCTTTGTGACATCCTTGTCTGGTTTTGGATCAGGGTGATGGTGGCCTCTTAGAATGAGTTTGGGAGTGTTCCTCCCTGTGCTATATTTTGGAAGACTTTGAGAAGGATAGGTGTTAGCTCTTCTCTAAATGTTTGATAGAATTTGCCTGTGAAGCCATCTGGTCCTGGGCTTTCGTTTGTTGGAAGATTTTTAATCACAGTTTCAATTTCAGTGCTTGTGATTGGTCTGTTCATATTTTCTATTTCTTCCTGATTCAGTCTTGGCAGGTTGTGCATTTCTGAGAATTTGTCCATTTCTTCCAGGCTGTCCATTTAATTGGCATAGAGTTGCTTGTAGTAATCTCTCATGATCCTTTGTATTTCTGCAGTGTCAGTTACTTCTCCTTTTTCACTTTTAATTCTGTTGATTTGAGTCTTCTCCCTTTATTTCATGATGAGTCTGGCTAATGGTTTATCAATTTTGTTTATCTTCTCAAAGAACCAGCTTTTAGTTTTATTAATCTTTGCTATCGTTTCCTTCATTCCTTTTTCATTTATTTCTGATTTGATCTTTATGATTTCTTTCCTTCTGCTAACTTTGGGGTTTTTTTGTTCTTCTTTCTCTAATTGCTTGAGGTGCAAGGTTAGGTTGTTTATTCGAGATGTTTCCTGTTTCTTAAGGTAGGATTGTATTGCTATAAACTTCCCTCTTAGCACTGCTTTTGCTGCATCCCATAGGTTTTGGGTCGTCGTGTCTCCATTGTCATTTGTTTCTAGGTATTTTTTGATTTCCTCTTTGATTTCTTCAGTGATCACTTCGTTATTAAGTAGTATATTGTTTAGCCTCCATGTGTTGGTATTTTTTATAGATCTTTTCCTGTAATTGATATCTAGTCTCATAGCGTTGTGGTCGGAAAAAATATTTGATACAATTTCAATTTTTTTTCATTTACCAAGACTTGATTTGTGACCCAAGATATGATCTATCCTGGAGAATGTTCCATGAGCACTTGAGAAAAATGTGTATTCTGTTGTTTTTGGATGGAATGTCCTATAAATATCAATTAAGGCCATCTTGTTTAATGTATCATTTAAAGCTTGTGTTTCTTTATTTTCATTTTGGATGATCTGTCCATTGGTGAAAGTGGGGTGTTAAAGTCCCCTACTATGAATGTGTTACTGTCGATTTCCCCTTTTATGGCTGTTAGTATTTGCCTTATGTATTGAGGTGCTCCTATGTTGGGTGCATAAATATTTACAATTGTTATATCTTCTTCTTGGATCGATCCCTTGATCATTATGTAGTGTCCTTCTTTGTCTCTTGTAATAGTCTTTATTTTAAAGTCTATTTTGTCTGATATGAGAATTGTTACTCCAGCTTTCTTTTGGTTACCATTTGCATGGAATATTTTTTTCCATCCCCTTACTTTCAGTCTGTATGTGTCTCTAGGTCTGAAGTGGGTCTCTTGTAGACAGCATATATATGGGTCTTGTTTTTGTATCCATTCAGCCAGTCTGTGTCTTTTGGTGGGAGCATTTAATCCATTTACATTTAAGGTAATTATCGATATGTATGTTCCTATTCCCATTTTCTTAATTGTTTTCGGTTTGTTATTGTAGGTCTTCTCCTTCTCTTGTGTTTCTTGCCTAGAGAAGATCCTTCAGCATTTGTTGTAAAGCTGGTTTGGTGGTGCTGAACTCTCTCAGCTTTTGCTTGTCAGTAAAGCTTTTAATTTCTCCATCAAATCTGAATGAGATCCTTGCTGGGTAGAGTAATCTTGGTTGCAGGTTTTTCTCCTTCATCACTTTAAATATGTCCTGCCAGTCCCTTCTGGCTTGCAGAGTTTCTGCTGAAAGATCAGCTGTTAACCTTATGGGGATTCCCTTGTGTGTTATTTGTTGTTTTTCCCTTGCTGCTTTTAATATGTTTTCTTTGTATTTAATTTTTGACAGTTTGATTACTATGTGTGTTGGCATGTTTCTCCTTGGATTTATCCTGTATGGGACTCTCTGTGCTTCCTGGACTGGATTAACTATTTCCTTTCCCATATTAGGGAAGTTTTCAACTATAATCTCTTCAAATATTTTCTCAGTCCCTTTCTTTTTCTCTTCTTCTTCTGGAACCCCTATAATTCGAATGTTGGTGCGTTTAATTTTGTCCCAGATGTCTCTGAGACTGTCCTCAGTTCTTTTCATTCTTTTTTCTTTATTCTGCTCTGCAGTAGTTATTTCCACTATTTTATCTTCCAGGTCACTTATCTGTTCTTCTGCCTTAGTTATTCTGCTATTGATCCCATCCAGAGTATTTTTAATTTCATTTATTGTGTTGTTCATCATTGCTTGTTTCCTCTTTGTTCTTCTAGGTCCTTGTTAAATGTTTCTTGCATTTTGTCTATTCTATTTCCAAGATTTTGGATCATCTTTACTTTCATTATTCTCCATTCTTTTTCAGGTAGACTGCCTATTTCCTCTTCATTTGTTAGGTCTGGTGGGTTTTTATCTTGCTCCTTCATCTGCTGTGTGTTTTTCTGTCTTCTCATTTTGCTTATCTTACTGTGTTTGGGGTCTCCTTTTTGCAGGCTGCAGGTTCGTAGTTCCCGTTGTTTTTGGTGTCTGTACCCAGTGGCTAAAGTTGGTTCAGTGGGTTGTGTAGGCTTCCTGGTGGAGGGGACTAGTGCCTGTGTTCTGGTGGATGAGGTTGGATCTTGTCTTTCTGATGGGCGGGTCCACGTCTGGTGGTGTGTTTTGGGGTGTCTGTGGACTTATTATGATTTTAGGCAGCCTCTCTGCTGATGGGTGGGGTTGTGTTCCTGTCTTGCTAGTTGTTTGGCATAGGGTGTCCAGCACTGTAGCTTGCTGGTCGTTGAGTGAAGCTGGGTGCTGGTGTTGAGATGGAGATGTCTGGGAGATTTTCGCCATTTGGTATTATGTGGAGCTGGGAGGTCTCTTGTGGACCAGTGTCCTGAAGTTGGCTCTCCTACCTCAGAGGCACAGCACTGACTCCTGGCTGCAGCACCAAGAGCCTTTCATCCACATGGCTCAGAATAAAAGGGAGAAAAAGTAGGAAGGAAGGAAGGAAGGGAGGGAGGGAGGGAAAGAAAGAAAGGAAGGAAGGAAGAAAAGAAAACAAAAGAAAGTAATATAAAATAAAGTTATTAAAATAAAAAATAATTATTAAGAAAAAAAAAAAGGACGCATGGAACCCTAGGACAAATGGTGAAAGCAAAGCTATACAGACAGAATCTCACACAGAAGCATACACATACACACTCACAAAAAGAGGAAAAGGGGAAAAAATCATAAATCTTGCTCTCAAAGTCCACCTCCTCAATTTGGGATGATTCGTTGTCTGTTCATGTATTCCACAGATGCAGGGTACATCAAGTTGATTGTGGAGATTTAATTCGCTGCTCCTGAGGCTGTTGGGAGAGATTTCCCTTTCTCTTTGTTCGCACAGCTCCCGGGGCTCAGCTTTGGATTTGGCCCTGCCTCTGCGTGTAGGTCGCCGGAGGGCGTCTGTTCTTCGCTCAGACAGGACGGGGTTAAAGGAGCCGCTGATTTGGGGGTTCTGGCTCACTCAGGCCGGGGGGAGGGAGGGGTGCGGATGCGGGGCGAGTCTGCGGCGGCAGAGGCCAACGGGAGATTGCACCAGCCTGAGGCACACCGTGCGCTCTCCCGGGGAAGTTGTCTCTGGATCCCGGGACCCTGGCAGTGGCGGGCTGCACAGTCTCCCCGGAAGGGAGGTGTGGATAGTGACCTGTGCTGGCACACAGGCTTCTTGGTGGCGGCAGCAGCAGCCTTGGCATCATGCCCCTCTCTGGGGTCCGCGCTGTTAGCCGCGGCTCGCGCCTGTCTCTGGAGCTCCTTTAAGCAACGCTCTTAATCCCGTCTCCTCGCGCACCAGGAAACAAAGAGGGAAGAAAAAGTCTCTTGACTCTTAGGCAGTTCCAGACTTTTCCCGGACTCCCTCCCTGCTAGCTGTGGCGCACTAACCCCCTGCAGGCTGTGTTCAGACCGAAGCCCGAGCCTCAGCTCCCAGCCCCGCCCGCCCCGGCGGGTGAGCAGACAAGCCTCTCGGGCTGGTGAGTGCCGGTCGGCACCGATCCTCTGTGCGGGAATCTCTCCGCCTTGTCCTCCGCACCCCTGTTGCTGCGCTGTCTTCCGTGGCCCTGAATCTTACCCCCGCCGCCCGCCCGCGAAGGGGCTTCCTAGTGTGTGGAAACTTTTCCTCCTTCACAGTTCCCGCCCACTGGTGCAGGTCGAGTCCCTATTCTTTTGTCTGTGTTTATTCTTTTTTCTTTTGCCCTACCCAGGTACGTGGGGAGTTTCTTGCCTTTTGGGAGGTCTGAGGTCTTCTGCCAGCGTTCAGTAGGTGTTCTGTAGGAGTTGTTCCACGTGTAGATGTGTTTCTGGTGTTCTGTGGGGAGGAAGGTGATCTCCGCGTCTTACTCTTCCGCCATCTTCCCGATTCCCCCTACCATAACTTTAAAGCTTCAAAGATTTCTTGCTTAAGAAACCACCGAGTCTGATTCTGTTCAAAGTCAGCCCCCAGGGTTTACACAAAGGACATTTTCAGTTTCTTCAAAGTCCCCAGGGGCTTCCCTGGTGGAACAGTGGTTAAGAATCCGCCTGCCAGTGCAGGGGACAAGGGTTCGAGCCCTGGTCCGGGAAGGTCCCACATGCCGGGGAACAACTAAGCCCGTGTGTCACAGCTACTGAGCCTGTGCTCTGGAGCCTGCGAGCTACAACTCCTGAAGCCCGCGTGCCTAGTGTCCGTGCTCTGCAACAAGAGAAGCCACCGCAACGAAGACCCAATGCAGCCAAAAAAACCCCACAAAAAACCCAGATATCCTTTTTTGTACGTCAGCCGCTGGATGCAGGGAGGCTGATCCAGGCCCCACCTGTTGGACGTTTTGTGAAAAACAGCTTGTGCCGGAGTTTGCTGTTCTCTTTCTAAAGGGCTGCAAACCTGTCTGTGTTTCATTTGAACTTTGCAGCTGCTGTTGAGCACCCCCTTGCTTTTCACCAGCTCTCTGAGTGCTGTGTCACTCCCAGTCTGCACACGAGGGACCCCAGTGGTGGAGGTGATTCTAGGAGGTAGAAGCTGAGCCAGGTTTTCTGACCGTGGCGTCTTCCAGGGCTGGCCCGTTACCAGCCTGGGAGGGCAGAGAGCTTCGTGGTGCTGGAGGAGTTGCTCTGGGGAGCTTGGTACTGCCGGAGGGAGCTTTGACATTCAGCCTCCCACTGCAGCGCAGCCTCCGTCCGGCCACAGGCAGGACCGCAGCTCGCCTGAGAGGCCTGGTGACCTGGGAAACACGCCCGGCCTTGGCTCCAGGTCCCCAGCCAGCAGCAGGGCCTGCTCGTTGGCATTCCAGGCCTCGCAGGCCAAGGGGCATGGAGAGCCCTGCGCCTTTACCTAGCTTACTCAGCTTATCTCCTGCCAGTCGGGCCCCTCTCCGGTCTCTGAAGGAAGCCAGCTGGGGGTCCTTCTTGGGAGCAGCTTGTCCTGTCCTGGCGGGGGCAGCATCCCCGAGCCCCTTCCAGGGTATCCAGGGTTGTCTGGGCCCTGCTGTGAGGACAGGCAGCTTACACTGTGCTCTCACTCTGGGCTTGTCTCATTGTTTCAGTTGACTTCGTGGAGGGAGTGGTGAAGGAGGTGGTGAAGCCTGCCAAGGAGGCTGGAGAGAATGGTACGGCCAGGGTCGGGGTGGGGAAGGAGGGAAGCTGGGTGCTGGCAGCAGCCTGATCCTTGCCTAACCAGATCACACCTTGACCCCAGTGTGGCATCCTTTCAGTTGGTGTATAATTATCTGTGCTCATTTGAGGTCACAGGCCGTACTTTGCTAAAGCAAGTTCCATCTAGATAGTCGTCTCTGTGGAATGTTAAGAGGATGACATCACAAAAGACCAGGCGCAGGCGTGCTGGAACAAAACATCTGAGACATAAAATCATATATTTACATGAATGCATATTTACATAAATGTTTATATGTTTGTGCTGTGAGTATCACGATGTAAAAAAGCACGTGTATATCTCACTCCTTACAACAAAATAGATTCCGGATGGATTAGGACTTAAATACAAATACATGAAATTATTAAATTGTGAGAAGAGAACATAGATTTTGGCATAATCTCAGAGGAGGGAGGGTCTTTTTAACGATGACAGAAAATCCAACAGCTATAAAGGAAATACTAGGTAAATTGGACAATATAAAACTTCAAAATTTTCCATTGTGGAAAAAAGAACTGTAAGCCAAACCAAAAGAAAAACCACAAACTGGGCAAAAATATTTGTGGTAGAAATTATAGCCCAATATTAAAAATGACCAAAAGATACAAACAGGCAGTTCACAGAGCAATGAAGCATGAGTAGGCAGTACACCCACAAGCAGATGCTCTGTCTCACTAATAGTTGGAGAAATGCAAGCTGTTTGGAGAAATAAAAGCAAATTTGAATGCATTCCTCCAGGAGCTGTGCGGCCCTCTGCCCCACAGACTCCTCCAGGGCATGACCCGGTAAGACTGCCACATCCCACAGGCCACTCCAGGTGACTCCAACCCAGCGAGTGACTTGAATTGTTCACTTTGCTCACCTGGATATCATTTCTTCCTGACAGCCGTTGCCGGAGCTTTAAAGAAGACCCACGAGACAAGGGACAAAGTGGTAAAGGAAGTCACTGAGGCGGTGACCAACACAGTCACAAATGCTGTCACGCACGCAGCGGAAGGCCTGGGCAAACTGGGACAGTGAGCGTGCCTGCCACCAGCAGGCTCTTCCTGAATCGCAATAAACAGCTGTGAAATGTGTACACTGAGCCCTGGGTTTGTTCCTGTTTGGGTGGAAACATTGTGTTATGTCCTGAGTGTCTCACCACTCTGCAGGGACAAGAGGCCAGCACCTTGGCACCCACTGGGGGTCAGATAGATCCCTGTGATAAGTCAGATGTGCTGCTCTCACGTTATGACTTCTTATGTCAGCAAGGAGCTCTTGAGAACTGTTAGTGTCTGTGCTACATTTCTTAAAAGCCTATTTTTGCAGCAGCTATACATAGCTTTCAGACACCTCAGTGCTTCAAGGACACCCCAAGGGAGGACCACAGTTCAGCTTATGTGTTCTTTGCGTTTTCCTTGAAATATTCTTACAGCAATCAGGGATGATAACAGACCAACCTGACTGAGGGGTTAGCTGGGCAGGCTCAGGCAGGTTGAGCTGCTTCATGTTCTGAAAGAGGCTTCAGAGAAGTGTTTCTGCTGGACAGTCACAGAATCAGGTCATGGAGAAACCGAGTCCACTGCCTGTTGGCTGCTGGAGCTGCTGTCAGATCTCCACTCAGAGACTTGGGTTAGGCCTAACTGGCGGTAGTGGGTCAGAATGCCTGCTCTTCTCTCCTTCCTGCCACGAGTGAGTCAGTACCATTAAAGTTAAACATGTTTGAATAGCATTTAGCTTAACATTTTGGATTAAAGAAAAAGGAAATGACTTGTAAAGATATGGCATTGCTTATTTATCCTGCTGGAAGTTATTGTTCTTAGGGGAAATTAGAAGAAAAGGTGTTTTGTGGAATGAGTTAGTTGCTCCCCACATTTCTGGAGTTCTTTCAGAATTGGCTTCACACGTTTCTGAACGGCCCAGGAATATCCAGTGTTCTGGCTTGGAACATTCGCTATTGTCCAGCTAGAAATGGACCTTATATCTTGGTTTGGGTTCTGATGACTTTTGAGTTCTCCCAATCCAGACCCAAACTCAAAAGGATGTGGAGGGCTTCCCTGGTGGCGTGGCGGTTGAGAGTCTGCCTGCCAATGCAGGGGACACGGGTTCGTGCCCCGGTCTGGGAGGATCCCACATGCCGTGGAGCGGCTGGGCCCATGAGCCTTGGCCGCTGAGCCTGTGCGTCCGGAGCCTGTGCTCCGCAATGGGGGAGGCCACAGCAGTGAGAGGCCCGTGTACCACAAAAAAAAAAAAAAAAATAGAATGTGGTTTGTGGGTGGCAATGTCAACCAGAACAGCCTCTTTGTTTGTTTTTTTAAATTTTAGGAGGCAAATGAAGTTTTTTTTACTTTCTGCAGGGTTTTTGTTTTTAAATTTTTATTGGGGTATAATTGATTTACGATGTTGTATTAGTTTCAGGTGTACAGCAAAGTGAATCTGTTATAGAAATACATACACTCTTTTTTTAGATTCTTTTCCTAGATAGGCCGTAACGGAGTATTGACCAGAACAGCCTCTTTGGATGGCAGTTCCTCTTACCAGACTTTATTCTTTGGGTGTACAGGCAGAGGCCTGAAGGGCGAGGATACATTCTGACATGTTAATGATAGCAAGAGATTGGAAACACCCTAAAATGATAATCAGAAATTACTTGGATGGCAAGCTTTACTCTGCTTGTTAGATTTGACAATTTAGAGTTGACACTTATTACTTCTAGTGTATTAATAATGCTTTAGCTTGAAAAATGGGACTTGTGCTTAGATGGCCACCTAATGACTGGTTAACATTTATCACATTTATATGAAATGGAATACTCTGGCTGTTAAGGAGGAAAATATACATATATCATTAGGGAACATGTACAAATAAGTTAATAGTTTGTGAAATGTATGTAGAATAAGTTCATTTTTACAAAGCAAACATATAAGAATAGAAGAAAACTGGTAGCATGTGTATAGCAAATATTAAAAGTGTTCAGCTCTGTGAGAATATGAGGAATCCTCACTTTTTATATTATGTATTTCCATGATGCTTGAATTTAAGAGAAAACCAATACATATGTTTTAAAATGTGGTTGTGGAGGCCACGTACTAGCTTATTGAAGATTGCTTCCTAATTAAGTGCTACTCAGAGTTTGCCGGTTTCAAACTTTATTCAAACTTTATTTCAAACTTTATTGCCACTTGGCAACAAGGGAAGTAAGGAAACACAGTGTTTAGAAACTCTTAAAGCAATTGGGCATCTCCTGGACCTACAAGAGTGTGATCAGTGGAGAATTCTTGTCGAATGGGGTATAGACCAGTTCAGGTTGTTGAACTTGTCCGGTAAGTTGCATGTGAACTAGTCACAGGAAGTAGCAGAAGTAGCACCACATGTCATGATGAATGAGGTTAAGGAACAAACCAAAATCAAAAAAACCGGACCTCCTTCACAGAGAGGTGGAGAAGCACTCCCACGTTCCTTTAACGTCACCTGGCAGTGTGCTGTTCTAAAATAGATACTTGCATCTCTCATTTTCTTTTTACTGTGTGTATTGTGCAGTGAGGGGCATGGCATCAACCCCAGACTCTAAGCGTGTTATAAGAAGCAGTCAAGAGTGATGTCAGAGAAAATCGCTTTCTCCAAGATCTCCAAAAATCTCCATAAAAATCATGAGAAAACTGACAAAAATATGGTCAGAATCAACTTTTTTCAGAACTCTGGAAATTAACCAAAGGCTTACAGTAATCCAGGGAGTATTTACATAAAACAAATTTAAAACAATCTTTTTTTAAGAACAGCAGCTTTGTAATGTTTTTAACTTGCCCTATTCTTTTCTCATCTCTCCCCGCCACCTTTCCAGCTCCACTGTAAGCCTTGAAAACCAATGTAATAGGGAAGAACCTTTGTATTCTATTACAAGCTAATCACTAAAGGGATGTTGCCTGTAAGCTTAAATGATACACAACGGCCCATCTCAGGGAACCCTGCCTCCCAGGTAATGAGCATTAAGCTAAAATACCTGTGTTTAGCTCACAGGGAACATCCTGACCAGGCCCATCTGTGCAGGACTGCAGGGAGGAAGGAATTAACACATCGCCTCAGGGGCTGATGGAAACCAGAAGTGCTTGACGCTACTCCCTCCGCTGTTAGTGTAAAAGGAGCCTGAATTTTAACTCAGGCAAGATGGTTCTTTGGGACGTGAGGCCGCCATCTTCTTGGGCTGCTGGATTTCTGAATAAAGTCACTCTTCCTCGCCCCAGCAACTCATTTCTTGACTTATTGGCCTGTAGTGTGGTGAGCAGCACGAGCTTGGACTCTTAACAAATTTGGGCGCAGCCAGCCAGGAGCCTTGCTACTTGTGGCTAGCCAGCCCTGGTTGGGGAATTTGGGGTAAGGCCCTAGCAGCTGCCGGGACAGCTTGTCCTGAGGATCTTTACCTTCAAAATTCCCCAAAGTGGCACCGGCTTCCCCAGAGCTTGGCAGTTGGAGCAACAAATCGACGTTTGGGAGCCAACAAGCTCCGTACAGTAGGGTAAGTTGCTCCGGTGTGTACAGCCGGGAACTTTTTCCTCTGTTTGGGGCTTTTTCTCCAGAATAAGCCAGTTTGTTTTGTATTTGAGTGGGGTGCACTGTTGGGGAGAGGAAGGAGTTGTCGGACTTATATCTGATTTGTGAACTGGTTCATTTGTTCCCGTGGATGCTAGCATTTGTGAGCGCAGTTTGTGTTTTGTTTGACTTGAACTTCTGTCTTTAAAAATGGAGAACGTTTCAATTATCCCTGAAGTCCTCTGAGGCTCGTTTTGGGTAAGTGATCTGATTACAGCTATGAACCCATGGGTGAGAGAAAGATGATACTTCATCATAACAATGTGTGGCCACAGTACCTGTTAGGATCTGCACAAAGGATTTAGGCAGGGCTCTCTTGGGACCCTGTGCACCATGTACTGCTTTCCTTGCTGTGTTAAGTACTTTGTTTATGGTTTCCTGTGTTGTTGGTATATATAAAACCCCAAGACCAAACTTGAGGGTTTATTTAAGATTTTCTGTTTGTCGTTTGGGTTTTTCATTTCATTTTGTTTGGTACTGTTTCTCCATTTACAGCCAAATCAGTTGTGATATTTAAAACTTTTACTGATGTTAAATGGAGGAAAGGAACAGAAAAAACTAAACCAAACCAAACCAAAAAACTCTGTCTGTTCTTATCTAAGAGTGGGGCATTCTCAGGAAGAAGAGGAAGGTTCCACTTGGTTCCTAAAATCACCAAAAGCTACAAGTAGAAATAGAAGCAAAATAAATATTAGTAAAAAGGGTTCAGCCATCAGCGGTCAGCCATCAGCCGGTGATCTTGACTTGTCCCATCTGCCAGAAACCCAATTTGAATCCAACCTCTTTTGTAACTGGTTAGTTTTACATTGTTGTACTTGATTCATGGCTGAAATGTTGGAATGGGAACTGTGAGGTCCCTGTGTTTGTGTGTTTGTACATGTTACAGATGTGTAGCACTGCCAACATTAATGTGCAAAAGAGCTATTTATTTGGCTTAAAGGAAATTAAGCACTTATGTAAATACTCAAATATAAAAGAAACTAGCTAGAATGAATTCTGGGTTCATGTGATCTAGGAAATACTCAGTATTGACCTAATATCTGGTATTAAGGTTTGCGTAAGCTTGTTGGTTTGATTTCCACAGACATATCTTTAGAGTCATCAACATTAAGTATAATGCTGTTATTGTGCCTAAGTTTGCTAGAAATCAAATAAGACGTATCCTTTTTTATTGTTTAAATAAATTTATTTATTTATTTATTGGCTGCACTGGGTCTTTGTTGCTGTGCCCGGGCTTTCTTTAGTTGTGGCGAGCAGGGCTACTCTTTGTTGAGGTGCATGGGCTTCTCATTGTGTGGTGGCTTCTCTTGTTGTGGAGCACAGGCTCTAGGTGCATGGACTTCAGTAGTTGCAGCACACAGGCTCAGTAGTTGTGGCTCACGGACTATAAAGCACAGGCTCAGTAGTTGTGGCACATGGGCTTAGTTGCTCCGCAGCATGTGGGATCTTCCCAGACCAGGGCTCGAACCCATGTCCCCTGCACTGGCAGGCGGATTCTTAACCACTGCACCACCAGGGAAGTCCCAATACCTATTCTTGTTAACAAAGTTTGTCAGCGAGAAGATAATAATATGACAAAGATTTTAACTAAATAAAATAGAGGTATATGAGGTAAGAGTTTTAGGTAAACTCTATAGGAATAATTATGTTTGGGGAAGGTCTATCTAAAATAATTTCTCTAGATTTTCATAACTTGAAACTAAACTAAGTCAAATGAAGAGAATTCATTGACTCTCTGGGTCATTTCAAATAGGATAAAATATTAACATTAATTACTGGACAGGTCTAAGTTTACCTACATTTGCCTTCTTGGAAGAGGAAGACTAAAGCATAAGTTTGTCAATCAGGAAATGCTGGTTTGACGGTTTTACAGTTACTTCTTGAGTTTTCACTAGAGATTAAGGTTTTAAAGTTAAGAATTATAAAGGGAGCATTTCAGCGTGCAAGATGTAGGATGTGTGTTTTCAGCAAAGAAGGTATGAGGAATGAAGACGCATCTTGTTAAAGGGAAAAAGGTGGTTTTGTTTTAGAGCTGGCTGTTTTTGAATGGAAAAAGTGAGGGACAGATTAATATGGATACAGAAAATTGTGGAAGGTTTTTGGAGGAGGAACACTGAAAGAATTTCTTGTGCATGATAGGGATTGGCTAAGATAAGACTGAATTTAAGAAAACAAATTTTTTTTTGCGGTACGTGGGCCCTTACTGTTGTGGCCTCTCCCATTGCGGAGCACAGGCTCCGGACGCGCAGGCACAGCGGCCATGGCTCACCGGCCCAGCCGCTCCGCGGCATGTGGGATCCTCCCGGACCGGGGCACGAACCCGTGTCCCCTGCATCGCCAGGCGGACTCTCAACCACTGCGCCACCAGGGAAGCCCAAGAAAACAAATTTTAAAGGTAAAGTGGTATACAACCTGAATTTGGTTTTCTAAGAGGACAAAGTTTTCTTAAAATATTGAACTGCTTTTGGTAATTGTTTGTTTAAGTGATCTGTATTTGCCATTGAGATCTTTTATCACTGGTTAAAACTTTTTGATATTTTTGATGAACTTCCCAAAGATCAAATTCTAAATGAAGTTCATTTGACCTCTAGCTAACTTTGAGGTTTTCCCAAGGGTCCCTATAACACCTCAAATTATTTGTTTTCTCTATCTCAGAGAGAGGAATATTAAACTAGTTAGGCTTATTTGATATGTTAAATTATGTGGGAAGCATTGTCAAATAAGTGATGATAAAACTTCTTAGATTGTATCATATGGGTAAAAGTTATTAATATACACATTCTAGAAATTATATGGAACTCCTAAAATTCTGGTATATCCTGGTAAATGGTATCAGTCATAATTTTAGTAATTATCATAAATTGTTGTGTGTCACAGCAGTAACCAAGTTTCTTTTCAGTTGCATTGTAATCCCAGTTGGTTGATGCCAAAGCATAAAGGCATCCCTTTAACGGTTAGAGACAGTCAATGGCTATTTATGGTTTTACAGTGGCTTTCGAATGACTCTATAGCTATTGTGTGAAGAAGTGGGGAAGAAAGATGAAATCCTTTATGTGTAAGCATTTATGCTATTACATCAGGGAAAATAAAAAGGGAATGAGAGTGGGGATATGTTGCTTCAAACTGTAACTCCTACAGCTGAGCTAGCTGTCCCAGCCTGGCCAATATATCCAACTCCTCCAGCACCTTCCATTCCTATCCAGCCCCAATTCCTGGCACTGGGGCTCAGGACTTCCCTTCCTTCAAGGGATCAATTACAAAATCGTGCGTTAGGTTTTGGGGCTCAGGTACATGGTCTGGTATCACCATCTAAGAACCAACAGGGCACCCAATTTGGGCCAGGAGCCACTCCCAGGGGACGGCAATTTCCCTTCCCCCATTACCTCATAGGTAAAACCTAAATGCAAATAATCTGCCCGCTGGGTTTCTCAGGCTTGTTTAATTGGAAAGATTGCAACCCTCCTGAATAGGGAGGATCCTCTACACCTGAAGTCCACTTGGCAGCTGAAATCCCTCAGCTGAACCAGATTGGGACTGCAGTGGGGGAAGAATGCCCTTATTAGAAAACTAGTTATTGGTGCATCTTGGCAGGGCTTTGAAAAGGAGAAGCAAAGCAAAAGATTTTCAAGAAATTCAGCAAAACAAATGAAGATGTCTCTGAATTTTTGGAAAGGATTTATCAGGTGTACAGATGTCATACTAATGCAGATCCCGAGGCCCCTGAAAATATTAGAATGGTAAATTTGACCTTTTGGTGAGGGCAAAGTGCCTCAGATATCGGGAGAAAGTTGCAAAGAATAGATGGTGCATTTGGAATGAACCCTTTTCAACTGGTAGATGTTGCTTTTAAAGTGTTCAATAGGAACAACAGAAGAAAGAAGACGCAAAACAAAACACCACTTTTTTGGTAGTAAGTCACCACTGGGGAAGGAAAACAGGTGGCCCTAGGCTAAAACATAAGCAGAAAAACAAAAGACGAGAGCCTCTCTCATGTGGTAGAAAGAGAGAAACACTCTGGTGAATGAACAGTCCAGGGGCTCCCTTGGACTTGAGGCGCCTAATTCCTCACAGGAGCCCTGGGGAAAACTGACAGTGGGGAATGAGTTGATTAACTTTCTGGTAGACCTCACCCTGAAGTTTCTCACCAGAATAGCTTGACATCAGAGTCCCACCAGAACACACATTAAGCCTACGGATGGCACTCATGAAAGCCCCAGGAGAGGAGACAGAGCTCTTTCCCCACAGGTCTCTGAAAGGTGAGACCAGAAGTGTGTGCTAACCGCACCCCAGAGAAGGTCAAAAACACATGGCCAATACGAATACCATTAAATAGGGTCACTGGGAGGGGCTTCCCTGGTGGCACGGTGGTTGAGAGTCCGCCTGCCGATGCAGGGGACATGGGTTCGTGCCCCGGTCCGGGAAGATCCCACATGCCGCGGAGCGGCTGTGCCCGTGAGCCATGGCCGCTGAGCCTGCGCGTCCGGAGCCTGTGCTCCGCAACGGGAGAGGCCACAACAGTGAGAGGCCCGCGTACCGCAGAAAAAAAAAAAAAAAAAAAAGGGGGGGGGTCACTGGGACACTTAGTCTAAAAATATATCCTCTGAGGCAAGAGGATCACTTCTCCCACAGACTAACTTGTCAAAATACCAGCTGGTGTATTCCTTGTGTGTGCCCCTTCAGGACGTCTACAAAATTGGAAGTATTGGTACTGTCCCTGTGGGTGGAGTGGAGACTGGTGTTCTCATACCTAGCATGGTGGTCACCTTTGCTCCACTCAATGTTACAATGAAGTAAAATCTGCTGAAATGCACCATGAAGCTTTGAGTAAAGCCCTTCCTGGGGACAATGTGGGCTTCAATGTCAAGAACATGTCTGTCAAAGATGTGCATGGTGGCTGGTGACTGTGACCCATCAGTGGAAGCAGCT